ATATATATGTGTGTGTGTGTGTGTGTAATAGTATAGCATTGTTATATAATAAATATTGGACAGCATTTTTAAAAGTACTAGCGTGAGCCATGGGAGGCTTCACTCAAGTATTTCTTGCATATATTGAGACTGTGAAGGATTCCGTGGCTCGAGCCCAGGATTTTCCCAATGGGGGAGGGGACAGGGCGAGGGAAGTGATTAATGGGGTGATCCCCGAGATATGACAAATGGTTATTTAATCGATTTTAGAGTCTGCTGACATGTAAAAAAATGTGATTTTTTTCTCCCTGACAAATTCTGTTTTTCTCCCCGACCGGGTTGGGGGAGGGGGGAGGCAGCTCTCCCCAACAATTTCCCCCAAAACCACACCGGCGCCCCTGCTCTCTTATATTCCAATATAGGCCTACTTATAAAAAAATGTCTTACGGATATTAGGTGGAACGGGATAATCTTTAGATTCACACGTCTGCACTCCAACGTCTTTTTGACGAGGCATTTCTTGAATAGTAAACTCTTTCTTCGCAATCATTTTTTCTTTAATGATTCACCTCTTCAATAATTTTCCTGAAGTTGTCTGCTTCAAGTTTATTTGTACGAATGTTTTATGTAGGTAAATGCAAGCAGTGCCAGTCAGAGCTAATGTTTCCCGTATGTAGTGGTAGATGCAAGCACAGGTCACTAGAGCAAGGAAACTCAACATCTGTCTTAAATTATCTAACATCTGAATATTTTTCTGGATACATAATATAATACAAAATATATTAATTGAATTGTTATAATATAAAAAATATAAATAAAATAATAATGCAAATATATGTATATTAATGTTATCATATATTGTGACCCTTTAGCATATTGATATGAGATGTATGTTAAATAGGTGGGAATTTCCCAGATAGTAGAGGGACTATTTATCGACAAGTGACTTATCCCCACAAAACCTAAACAAGGTGGCAAAAATAATAAAACATGTGTTTATGTTTATTGTTATATAATACTATTCTATAAATAATTAGCTATAGAATGATGTACAGTATAACTTTATAGGTTTAACTTTCTTCCAGTAATTATTTGAGTAGTTGAATTTAATGTTTCAATGTTTAGAAGTAAGTCTAGCTATAGGAAAGATGATTTATTCATTAATTATATAATTATCAGTTATAATGAATAGCACAAGCTTTGACTGCATTATGTATGATGCCTTATTGCCACTTTCATGCATGACTGCACAAAGCGAACGATTACAAAATGCACTTAGCAACAACCCTAAAACAAATGCACGTAAAACAAAATTGTAGTTTCCAGACATATTTCAATTTGCTTTAATGAAACATCTCTTTAAAAATAACAAAACAAAAATGCCATGTTTTACCTTTTTAGTTATCTGGTACAGTATATTAATAACTGTTGGAAATGGAGACTTGAGTAGGCATATGGGCCCACATTATACAGAACATTTAATTAAATAGTGGCCTCCAAACCCTTTTCTTTCGCACGGTCACTTTAGGACATTCTTGATAATGATACGATGTGATATAGCTGCCCCTAACTGTGATTTGCAGTAACTATTTTGATGATCATTCCAATGTTGCTAATACATTTATTTGTTATAATTAAAACCTTATCAAGTTTCGAATATTGCCAGTACCTAACATTTAAAAATATTTTTCACACAGGGCATGTTGCTATAAACAGCCGTCTGGATTGATTGAACCATAATACTGTAAATGGCTTTATGACGATTGTATACCCCTGTCAGTCCATTGCTATGTCCCAAGCTATGTCTCACAATCAGACCTAAATTCAACGCACATTTACATAAATTAGTTAACTATATAATAAGGTGTGTCCACACCATGCGCTGATTACTGCTGCATTACTATGCATTTGATACAATGAACAGACTAAAGCCCTGTCCAGACTATCAAATTTTATAGACAAAAACATGTGACATGCCTAAATATGGGCATGATGACATCGCATCAAGACCATATATAGGCACATCATGACTTTATATGGACATACAACAGTTTTTTTAAAAGAAAATTTGATAATCTGGAAAGGAATTAATAGTATGATAAGTGCATAAAAAATTAATGCCATGACAATATTATTGCTATTTTTAGTGATAATTTAACAGTGTTAGAAATATTTTATATATTAGGCAAACTTAATCTGATATTATTATCACATTGTTATTATTATTATTATTATTATTATTATTATTTTTTGTATATATATATATTTTTTTTGTATTCTTCATGTTTACTATATTTATGTATCCGTTCGATGTTTGTGTTCCCTCCTGCAAGTGGCGAATTTTATGTTTGCTGTTGGCTGGGATAATAAATAAATAAAATACATATAAACTAATTCCTCCATGATCAAACAATAGGGATCAACAACTGAATTATATACACGAACTACATGTTTCATGAATTTAAATGACAGGTTGCAAACTGTTATTATAGTAAATGCAAGTACAATATTATATAAAACCTACATACCTAACTGTTTACTAGAAAACACTCTGTAGCATAAACTTTAATATTGAAGGTCACACTTATTCGACATGATTATCAACTGAAGTCATAATTATACTTAATCTATTTAAACAATACTCAACATATACTCTTGACAGAGGACATAATCATTCACTCCTCAACACAACAGGCATCATGGATACCATATGTGGCTACAGTATAGGCCTATAGAACAACAGTGGAGCATAGAACTGCAAGTGGACTGGCTAGTGTGGGGACGGGTGGTAAACAAACCTATATTAAATTGAGTTTGTGAGTGTATTGTAAAAAAAAAATCAAAAAAAAAAATCGGGTCGGTGGCCTTTTTGATAGTAGAGTGGGGATGCTAACCAATTATTTTATTTTACATGGCCTTATCAACTGAAGTCATAATTATACTTAATCTATTTAAACAATACTCAACATATACTCTTGAAAGAGGATAAGATTATTACTCTTATTGTAGCATAATCGATTCTACATTAAAAAACAAGTGGACAAAATCCTTAATCAAAATATAACAGAAAACAATTATTATTGTTGAAATTGAATATTTTATATATTTGTCGTACACAATATGTACTGCATTATTATTAACAATGCTTTTGTATATCAACAAATAGTAACATTATGATTATGTAGTGTAATTGGATTTATATAGTTCAGGACAAGTCATCACACATATTTCAACATCTTTAAAATCTGTTAAATGCAAAAACACATCAAATTCAAATGCTTTACTATTCTTGACTCCACCCACAATATCAACCTAAAATAAAAGCCCTTTACATTGCGACTTGTAAGCCGTTTGTCCTATATGCAATATTCCGCAAGTGCACATAAATAATGCAATAGGCCTAAACTCTTTGGAGAGTGTAGGGGATTGTACTGCCAATCACCACCACAAGGACTCGGCTAGAAGTAAGTCTTCTTTGGAATTTTGTGGGTTGTCATTGGTGTTTATTGTCAATAGTCTCATCTAATCCACTTTATGTCTGATCTACACCTAAAAAATGGTACCAACCATTCCCGTTAGTCGCTCACATGGGCTGTATAAACCAGTACACCCGGGTAACAGCCAAATTATACACTTGGCTTAATTCAATTTAGAGTTCTTATTCTATGCCTTGTTCCACCACTACAACCATAGGATCCAATGACAGGGGTAGTAATGAGAAGCAGTTAGAAGCCTTGATGGCATAAAGTGCTATATTATTCTAACATATTATTATCTTTATTATTCAACCAATTATAGTTAAAATTTATGAATCCTGGAGAATGTCTATAGAATTGATCTCTGGTGACCCTCATTTATTTGTACTTGGAATAAAATGATGACAATCTTGCAGCTGATAAGTACTTCCAGATTTGAATCTCATCTTAGCAAAGCCATCTTTATCTTCAAGAAGGTAAACCCATTTGGTACCTGAAAAAGCAAATAAAAAACAATGTACAATAGTGAAAGTCACAATAAACTATCTTCGTTGGGCTAACATATTATTTCAAATTTGATTTGCATTCTCTATTGGACATATTAATAATTGTGGATTATGGCAGGCTGCAATGACAATTTTGATGCCTCAATAAGAAGCAACACAAGAAGTGGTGACCGTGGTTTAGTGGTTTATCTGCTTAAATAGTGGCTTCAACAAATTCTTTGATTTGACTCCTATAGCAGATTGTTTTGGGTATGAAAGAATCCCTGGAGGTTATTGATGACATCATCCACATAATGTTAAAGTGATGACACAATGATGATAATGATGACGATGATGATGATGATAATTATGGCAATGGCAATAATGATGCTGCTGCTTATATATATGATATTTTATTAGCAATTAGTATTATTCTTACCAATTTTAATCTCAACTTCAGACATCCTGAATGCCTTTTTCACATCACCAACTGCCAGGTAACATTCTGACTCAAGTACAAATGATTTATAGATACAAATTCCTCTATTAGAATAATAAAGTTGAATTAAAGCTGCAGGAAAATTACAAATAAAGACTGTAACAGCCATAGTTTGTTGTATCATTGGTCAGGAGACAGCACTTGGTTTGTGTTTGGATTTGTGTAGGTTATGCTCTGATATCTGCTATTGATATCCCTATATTTATTACATTAATTAGAGTTAGTGAAACTAACAGTCACCAAGGTGAAGAAACTCAAAAATAGTTTAGTAGTTACATTTAGTGGTTAATTGACCGATGCAAAGAATGCAGACCCAAGAACTAGGTCTCTATCCTGCATTCCAACAAGATGATGATGTACCCAAATGAATTATGAATATTCATTAACACTTGTATATATGATGTACCAATCAGTAAAATAAACACTTCTACATACATTATTGTAGATACAATCTGTTTGTGTATTGTATGTGTCGCAAGCATGGCTACTCCACCTATCACTACACAAATTACAGTACAACAGTTTCAGTTCATTAATTTAGCATGAGCAGAGTACCTATAGTCAAAGGTCAGAAATGTCATTTCCATTCACTTTTGGACAAAAGAGTCATAAATGCAAATAGAAACACACACTGAAAAATTTGAGGCTAAAATTAGGTCTCTAGGACCTACAGTTTTGGAAATATGGATATGCTGTGTATCTAGGGTCAAAGGTCAGAATTGCCATTTCTGGTCAAATTTGGCCAAAATGTTGCATTAGAGAAAATAGAAACATGTTTGTTCTGAACAATCTGAAATGAAAATTCTTTATGATTCTCCGTTGCCAAAATATATGAATCAATGAAAATGTACGTACTTTATCTACAATTGTTGCATAAGTACTCTAACCTTCAATTCTTACACCCAATGTTTTTTGGGTTTAACTTATTCACCTAATTCATCTCTCATAGTTCCAAATAATACATATAAAAATGTCTTACGGGCAGATTCTGCAAGTGGATAATTGTTGGATTCCCACTGCACTCCAACATCTTTTTGAGGAAGAATTTCTTGAATATTAATCAATTCCTTCGCACTGATTTCTTCTTTAATATTCATCTCTTCAATGATTTTCTTGTTGCCTGCTTCAAATTTACTTGGAAGAATGTCTTGTGCAGGTAGATGCAAACACTGTATATCAGAGCTAATGTTTTCTGCATGTAGTGGTACATGCAAGCATAGGTCAGAGCAAGGTAACTCAACAACTTTCCTAAATGATTTAACATCTGAAAGGGTTTCTGGATAGAAAACAAACAAACAAAAAATAATAAATAAAAAACAAAATATAATTTAATTAAAATGATGATAATAATATCAAAAATATACATAAAATACTACTACTAATAATAATAAAAAAAATAATATTCACATAACATATTGTGACCTTTGAATATATGATTATGAGATGTATTTCAAATGAGTTGGAATTTCCCAGATAGTAGAGGATGGTAATAGTGATATGTGACTTATTCCTACAAAGTCTGTGAAGAAGGAGGCAAAATATTAAACATGTTTTAATTTTATATAATTATATTCATAAACAATGAGCTATAGAATAATTTCCTGTAATTAATTATGAGAAATTGAAGTATCAATATTTGAGTCCAGTAGAAGAGATTGTTTTTAATTATATAATTATCAATATTTAATAGCACAAGTTTAAATTACATACTTGGCACAGTTAATCCAGCATAACTGCACAGAGTGAACAATTATTACAAAATGCACTTAGCAACAAACCTAATGCACATACAAAAAATGTTAGTTTCCATGTGCATGTTTAAATTTGCTTTAATGAAACATTTCTTTACAAATAACAAAACAAAAAATGACCTTTCTAACCTTTGACCCTATTTACCTTGTATATTAATAATCGTTGGTCATAGACTTGAGTAAGCCGAGCCACAAATTATACAGAAAATACAAGTTATGAAATACAGTCGTTCCCAACCCTATTTTTATTCACATTGACACTTTTGGACAATGTCAATGATATACAGATCCCCACATTTTAATTTACTTTACTTATTGTATTTTATTAAAGGATAATGTGATGATATAATATATTCACCAATAAACCTCAATGATCCATAGCAATTACAACATTATTGAAAACGGCCCCTATTATGATTTACAGTAATAATTGCAAGACTAGAAATGATGAAACTATACAGTATCTGTATTTAAATATTCTTTTTGTTAAAACTCATGAATATAAAACAAGTTATTCAAAATTGGATACCTATGTGCACTTTTGCCACTTTTGTTATGCTTAGATTTCTTTCGTCTTAAAGCTACTTTAAACATAAATGTAATTGCTCAGTAGGCTCCCCTGGGCCTGTAACCTAGGAAATATGAACTTGTAACCCTGGTATTAAGAGAGCTTATTAATAAAAAGTACAAATTGTGTGTCAAATGTCAAAAACAAATTGCAGGATAAATTGGATCTATGGCTCAAGTTGTTGAATGTCAAAAACAATTTGCAGGATAAATTGGATTTATGGCTCACTATATATACTAGTCTACATTTTATTAAACTTGCCAGACTACAAAATTAAAGCCTGAAATTTATCATCATAGGACATGGATATAAATCCACCAAAGATAGAAAATGTATGAGATGCGTTGGCTTTTAAGGCTTAACACTTATACACAGGGTCTGAACAAAGACCTTGGTATTTTGAGCGGCTACATGTTCATTAAACAATAACAAATTAGCTAAGAGATATTAAACTAATCCAACTAATTATTCTTTCAAAGGTGCCGCATTGGCCAGACTGCCTATTGTGCCGATCGTTTTGTTTATCTTGTTTATAATCTAGCTACCTAGGCCTGTTTTTTTACTATACCAACACACAACTTTTACTGGTTGGCCAGTTATTCTTCCTGGTAATATTGACAGCTAAAACAGCTTTGGGAGAACTACGTTTGAAAGTCTTGATGGAAAACTCATTGTCCTGGACTTTTGATACACTAGATAGTTATATTTCTGCATCTAATATGGTTATTTCATAGTATTTTATTCTATTTCCGTATTTCCCTAATAAAACCAAAATGTCTGCAACTACGGAAGATCTGTAGTTGCAGATCAACTTAATATAAGAACACTGACCTTCCAGAAAAATGTTTACCGCAATTTGATATTACGAGGCAAACAATAGCGATTAAAGAATTTGTATGATTATGGAGATAGAAGTCTGTCACTGTACCTTTTTTAATGGTCAGTTTTCTAAGGTTGATGTCAACCGATGCAAACTGATATGTGTGCAGGAAAGCTCTATCCTGATGCAGCTGGTCACTTTTGGCAGACATCACCATTACATCACCAGATGGCATCGCTGCCAAACCTACAGGTTTTTCATCTGGAGGCAGCTCCTTCAGATTATGATAGAGTATTGTAAGATATGGGTGATATGAAATTCTATATTAACTAAAATAACTTCATTAGGGCTATTAGTTAATAAATTAATTATAACACTACCATACTACCACTACTCATTACTACTAAAAATACTACCACCATCACTACGTAAATTATAATAACAAAAAATAATTATAACAGTAATAATAATAATAATAATAATAATAATAATAATAATAATAATAATAATAATAATAATAATAATAATAATACAGGTACAGTATTTTACATGTGTCTTAATGCTGTATGTTTCTCATTCTCTTCCACATCAATGAATTTTTTAAGAATGTATAATACATGTAGATACATAAACATTAGGTATAGTGATATATTTTAAACATAGTAAATTATTATGCTGTCTGTTGTAATATACAGTATTTGTAAATTTTATAATGCAATTTTATATGAATTGAATTAAGAGTGATTTGAAATTATATCAAAAGAATCTAAAAGAGGAAAAGTAAATTGAAATGAGGAGAATTAAGAGCAAGTGTCACCGGACACTTACCAAGTTATCTTTTTGCGTTAGCTCGTGCTTCCAATTGAATACAGGAAGTCTAGGTTGAGAGTTGCTTCCAACAACTATACAATGACATCCTGGCTGAAATGATATAATTTTAATACACTCTTCAATTATCTAATTCATTAAATCTTTAATTCAATCTCAACTCTTATTACTGCATAATCCATCAGGGGCTATTATTTATCTACCCAAAACAACAGTACAAAATACAAAGGCAAGACAAAAAATAAAACATATGTCTAAATGGATACAATTTATCATGGGGTATGTCCTATTGACTCGCATACACCACCCTATTAAATCTAGCCATCCAAGGGTTGGGAAGTTACCCCACTAAGGTCCTAATAATAATGACACGCACACCCCAACCCATATTTATTAACATGAGATTTGAAATGCGTGACTATACACCAATCGGCTGGGGATGGGGGACCACCAGGGCCCCTGTGGGAATTCAGGGTTCAGTCACATATTATCAATGGTTGGTTGTGCCAATGAACGCGCAAGACCTCACAAGCCTCCTAGATTCTACTAAGTGCGTGGTTGGCTGGGTTGCTTTGGTTGGGAAAGAGAAAATTTCTCGGTGAATTGATTCTCGAAATAGACAACGAAAGCCTTCTTATGACTCAAGTTAATGCATGACTGTTTATATAATTTTTAATAAAACCATTTCTTCGAATTTTAAATACATTTTTACCTGAATTCGTGGTAATTAAGTGATCACACATAGACTTGTGCTAAATGCATGACAAATTTATGATAATCTAAAATTACATTAAAATGCGGGACTGTCCCGTTTGTAACCATGCAGCCTAACCAGACTATGCATCCGTTGTTTCGGTGGTAGGTACTTTACTCTGCAGAGGTCTTATCTAAAAAACATGAAGTGCCTGTTGAATGGAATTTGGAGGGCAAATATTTTGTATTCATCACAAGTCTGATCAAAATAAAGTCAGTTAAAATCTGACAGATAAAAATTATAAATAAGTTTCTGATATTTACCATGTACAGCAGAAGATCAGGATTAATAATACATGGTACCCTCACTTTTGAGACACTGTTTTCATGTTTCAAATCAAAAATTATTAAATAGCTGGAATCTTTAACATTTTCCTGCAAATAATAAGAAAAGAGTCAAATTAAATATAATTTCCACAAATAATATACCAAAAACCACAAATGTAATATAGGAATTTCAATTGTTGGTATTACTGTATTAACTGAAGACAATTCACAAAATCAAGTTACAGTATTGTAAATATTTATTTTATGTATATATACATTTAGTTGACTTTAATTATATATCATAATTAGATTAATTATAGTATTGGAAATGGTACACCAGTCCTAGAACTTCTACTGTTCTTTGATTAGGGTTGTAGTGAACCTTTACTTTTCCTAGCACAAAAGTAGACTAATATTGCATGAGCAAAAAGAGAGTGTAAATAGCCAGTAGAATGCAGGTGGACTGTGTAACCAATATGTCACACATCCCTCTCTAAAAACGGAGGCATAAAGAAAAAAAAAAACTGAGCATGGAGCTCAGTTTCAAATTCTCGTAATCTCGAAAGATCTGATGAGGGCAGTATAATAGAGGCGATTGAGCTACAAAAGATCTATTATCAATCGACTATTATTCAGCCGAGCGTTTTTACAGCTCCTCATTAGGGCAGTCTAATAGAGGAAGTAGAGCTAAAAAAGATCTATTAATCAATCAGCCTCATGAGGGCAGTGTAACAGAGGCAGTAGAGCTAAAAAAGATTTATTAATTAATCAACTATTAATCAATCAGCCACGTGTTCCTAGAGATCATCATCGCAGCAAAAAATTATATTTCTAAAGCACATTCTCAGGTTGAAAAATCCTTTACGAACTGTCAGAGATCATCAGTAAATGTAACATACAGAAAACTTCCAAAAGTTAACAGCTTAAATATCGGTTGTCTAATTCCAATGGCTGAACACCCAATCCAAATGAGAGAATGGTATTCATACCTTTGACTCCAAAGTTTAATGAGCCTAAAATAAACTGATCAACATTAACTGGGTCAAACAATATGCTTACTGAGAATATCGTAGATTATAGATACCTTTTGTTTTCTTGTAAAATGTAAAAGATCTGTTGAACTGTGTCCTTTGCATTCTGTATCTACAGTCCTTATACTTGTCAAATCAAGTATATTCTGCCTGCGTTTATCGTCACTAATCCTACAAGACTCGTATTCCCCAGACGTCTCTGAAGAGATTCTTGCATTCTGATTAACCTTACCACTTTCGTCTGACGTCCTGACACGCTGGACACCAGAAAGAGTCTGCATGGAGCCTTGCTTAGCAGCTTTGGACAACAACTCAGTAAGGTCGATAGATCCTTTGCTTTTCAAGTCTAATTTATCTCTTAACAATGATGCAATTGTTTTTTCTTGGTGACTATTCGCCTGAAGCACTTCAATGCATCCAACATCAAATGGAATCTTGGAAGCAGCTTTTGCACTACCATCATCAGATCTGTTTTCAGAGGATTCATGTTCTGATTCATGATACCTCCTCATTCTTTTATCAGTGAGTGGCAAACTCTTCTCACCTATTGTTGATAGTTCATTTCCTTTGATTTCTGGAACTGCAAACATATCATCTCCTGATGTCATAATCAGACGTTCAAGAGGGAGATCAGTTGCTATTGCAACCAATTCACTTGATATTGCCACAATATTGCGTATTCCACCAATTCTGAAAGAGAAGACAAAGTGTAGAGTACAGTTGCGGTGCCAGCGTCTGAAATCTGGGCGGGGGGTGGGGAAGTGAGGGGGGTAAGGTAAAATTTTAGGGGGTGGGGGAAATATGTCTTCCCATAGCAGACCGGAGATATAATTTAAGCTAAGAGATAAGGAAAAGTTAACAACATTGTTGGTATAGATCATGATAAGCACACTACTGGATAAGCAACTGCCCTGCATCAACTTCACTAAAGTGATTGATATGATTGGAGGAAGGGGAAACAGAGTACAGGAAAATATCTGTGGGAGGATGCCCCTTCCCTCCCCCTGTGCCTCTACTGGTAGACTATGTAAACTTTCAGTGTGAAATATATACTGTTTGTATTCTTTTTTTGTGAATACTGTTTATCATTTTTTATCCAACTGCTGGCACAAGGACCAAAGATAATCCTTCACAAGAAAAACATTACACGAGATGTTCTACATCAGAGGTGGGAATAAAAATCGGTCGGAGGGCCAAAGTGACTTTTTCATTTAACTCCAAGGGGCGCACCCAAACTTTGATGTTTCCAGCGGGCATCCAAAATCCTCCAAGCACTGCTTTTACACCACTTTATCTTCAGTTGTAATGTTCGGTATGTGGGGCTGTAAAAAAACAAGGTGTTTTCTAGCCAATGTTGCTTGACGGGCCGCACAAATAGCGGGCTGCAAAAAAATCGGTCAGATCGCATTTTGCCCATCTGGGCTCTACATAAGCTTGGCACACACTGCGTCTGATGGTCGACAGCTGACACGATTCTATGGAGAATGTAACTGTGATGCGCGCACAATGGATCAATTTTAATGACGATCCACTCAGACTGCAACTGACAAACAGCAGACGGCATCACAACCTCTATTGCTTTAAAAATTTCAATACAGAATTATTTAAATGACATACTCATCTTGTAGTCCAAATTCGTAAACTTCAGATGCAGAAGAATCGTCCCAGCTAAATACCTAAATAAAAATGAAAAAGCTATATTACTATATGAATGATTCTTAATTAATTAAAATATGATTTTAAAATATAAAACAAAGGTTTTAATTGGTTTGCGAAATTCATTTTGGCCTACTTACACTGATTACAGCCTATCTGAGAATAGCTAAGGACTGTATGATTTCCATGAAGAATAGCAAATGGAATGTGCAGAAAACTACCCCACCCTCTCCCCCAACCAAAAAAAAAAAAACAAAAAAAAAAACAGACCTTGATGTTGCTTAGTTTTTTCCCAAAATATCACAGAGTTACCCAGTGATATTTCACATACTGATTTAGTTTTACATAACCTAAAAATTGTTAACTTGTTTCAATGTTGTAAATTTAAATTGCATGGTTAATTTTAATTCTATTGTTTATATTCTTAGGTATCTATTTTTTAACAAATCCAATTATTGCTCGTCTTTTTGTTAGTTTGATGTAATTTAGTGCAATGCCGCAATATCAATGTTTGTTAATAGTTTAATGATAAACCAGAACGAATGCATGAAAAAAAAAAAATTGTTACGTTACTATATTTCAAAATCGGTAAAAGCTAGGCACTCACTGCATCGTACGACAAATCCAACTCCACTTTCTGCGAGCGCTACACAACGCGACACTATCCGCTGATTGTTGGTGGCAGTGTGCACCATCATTCTAAACGATTCACTGTGCACGCATCGTGGCGTTGACTTCGTCATAGAACACCCGCCAGATGCAGCGAGTACCAGGCTATAGTGTGAACATTTGAAATACCTTCAGAGTGGAGTTGATTGCGATTATTAATTTCGTGCCATCTGGCATCCATACTCCCGTTTTGACTTGGCCGCCATTACATCTGAGTTTCTGCGTTTCTTTTGTAGCAACATTGAGAATGACAACGTGGTCTTTATGCAGAATGCAAATAACTGGTTTCCTGGTATGCCAAACACATCCTGAATTCCAAATAATATTATCAATTTATATTGATAAGAAGAGTATCAATAATAAATAAAATAATAGCAATAACAATAATAAACAATAACAAATAATGATATTAATATATTCATTAGTTTATTCGGTTTTTCACACATAAAACATATAGAGAACAAGTTAAAGGCAAGCATAGGAAAAAATTACAAAAGCACGGAAGGAGGCCTATATAAGGGAACGTTAAGCATAGGCCTCCTGTTTAGAAGTCGTCAAAAAAGAGTTAAGACACAAATTAAGTATAAAGTACATGCAAAATTATAAAAGCCAAAATAAGATGGTGATTTTATTATCATTAGAACTTAAAACTACAAATATAAAAATATTTCAGTTTTTTTTTTTACATAAATTCGAATCAAAACTTTGTTGCTTGCTAATAAATGTCACAAACACAATAACTTTTTTTGCCTATAATTACAAAGGTAAAAATAAGGATCATTTAAAACAATAATTGTATGGATAGTTATCACTAATAATCTATTATAACTTACCTGCTGATTTTGATTGTAGGTCAAAGGTTAAAACTTGAGTAAACACAGGTTTAGACTCACTAAAATAGATAAAAAGAGAATTCACAACTATATATGCAACTTAAAGAGAGATTAAAAAACACACAAAGTTTTTCTTCTATTCATCTTTTGTATATCTTTCGTAAACTGTCACTTGTTGACATTTTTTGGGGTCTGCAAATGTTGATGTGAACTTCTACAGAGACTAATCATTCTTCTTCTTTTTCATAAAACTGAACAAGCTTAATTCTAAGCCCTCTGGCAGCTGATGTAGGAGGCTATATAATGTGACTGTTATCACATAATCACAAGTACAAATACTACTTCTTGTATGTTGCCTTTTTGATTACCTGTCACTGCTTACTTTGAAGATATTGACCTGTGACCTGAGCTGAACGCTCAAGTAAACATTCATTGATGTTGCATTACTCCATGCCACACTCTCCACATTATCGCTGAAATGCAAAGTATATATTTGTCATAGTTACACTAAGATATAATTTATTCTTTATTAGTTAAAAGATCTGTGGCGCTGCAATGCGTCTATAGCGGGTCTCCAGGGCCCAGCCCGAATTTCTGATTTTATATTAGAATGAGGATCCATAAAGAATTATTATTATATCATTAATCGACAAAGGATATTAAACTGGGTTTAAACAATGTTGATGTTGTCATAGTAAAAATAAATAGTTTAGTTATAAATCTACATGATATCACATGATAATAAAACTACAATGGATTTACTGTATCTCAAATCTAATCAATAAATCAGTTAATAATTTAATCCATCAATCAAATAATAAAAAAATTAGTAACAAATTATATCAAAATAATCACTCACTCTACTACTAGTAGTAGGGTAGGCCTACTACTAGTGATTTATGATTTGTAAACTTTAATATTGCATTCCTTGTAGCACATAATACATTTTAAAAACAATAAAATTTACCTAAAAACACCCAATTTTGATGGCTTTGCAGGAACCAAGCCATCTGTACTGCACGCTACCAGGAGAACGGTGCTACCATCAAAAACAACAACTCCATAATAATGGTGAAATGCTGAGAATTAAAAAGGATACAGTAATAAAAAAAAGCAAAAATGCTGGAGACATATTCCGTATTATTACTTTCTTTAGTTTAAGTTGATGTAATCGGTGTGCTTTATCTTGGGCCATGAATATCTAGGCCTAATTGTACTTCAAAACAGAACTGCAACACCAGTTTTACTTTAATTCATTTTGAAATGGATGGTGGTGTTCAAAAAACAAGGTCCCCCCTAGGAAAGCTAGGCCTCCCTAGTAGGCCTAGCTGGCTAGGCTACAACAAGGGGTGCAGGTCAACTCGGCCACAAGTCAACTCGGCCACAGTCAACTCGGCCACAAGTCAACTCGGCCACAAGTCAACTCGGCCACAAAAAAATTGGCTACGTTCTACTCGGCCACAAGTCAACTCGGCCACAAGTCAACTCGGCCACAAGTTAAATAGTTTAGTTATAAATCTACATGATATCACATGATAATAAAACTACAATGGATTTACTGTATCTCAAATCTAATCAATAAATCAGTTAATAATTTAATCTATCAATCAAATAATAAAAAAATTAGTAACAAATTATATCAACTATTTAATAATCACTCACTCTATTTAAGCAAAGTAACAATCAATCGCTCATTTGATTATTAAATTAACCAATCAAGAAAATAATCAATTAATCAACCAATTAATTAGTCAAATATTTAATAATCACTCACTCTATTTAAGCAAAGTAGCTATCAATCGCTCATTTGATTATTAAATTAACAAATCAAGAAAATAATCAATTAATCAACCAATTAGTTAGTCAAACCGATAATCAATCAAGAATCAATCACTCAATTGATATTTATGACAATTCCAACAGACATTGCTGTTGACGTCAAAAGCAATAGACTCAGCAGATGTACAGGGCAAACTTTAAATTTATACTGTACGATATCAGTAGATGCTTTGAGGATGTTTTTTTTAACCCGAGAAAACGAAGCATAAAATTTGCAGAATTTGAGCCAACGAAATGAATGCAACACTGGGAGATGGGTAGGCCTACTAGTAATTTATGATTTGTAAACTTTAATATTGCATTCCTTGTAGCACATAATACATTTTAAAAACAATAACATTTACCTGAAAACACCCAATTTTGATGGCTTCCCAGGAACCAAGCCATCTGTACTGCACGCTACCAGAAGAACGGTGCTACCATCAAAAACAACAACTCCATAATAATGGTGAAATGCTGAGAATTAAAAAGGATACAGTAATAAAAAAAAAAGCAAAAATGCTGGAGACCTATTCCGTATTATTACTTTCTTTAGTTTAAGTTGATGTAATCGGTGTGCTTTCATCTTGGGCCATGAATATCTAGGCCTAATTGCACTTAAAAACAGAACTGCAAGACCAGTTTTACTTTAATTCATTTTGAAATGGATGGTGGTGTTCAAAAAACAAGGTCCACCCTAGGAAAGCTGGGACTACTAGGCCTCCCTAGTAGGCCTAGCTGGCTAGGCTACAACAAGTAGTAGTAGGCCTAGTACTCTAGTAGGAGGCCTAGCCTAACTAGGCCTACCTACCAGGGCCTAGACTAGTCTAAGTCTAGCCTATAGTATAGGTATGCTGGATTATAGACAGGCTTAAATTTACTAATGCCTTTTAATAAACAGTTTCAGACTTAGATAATGAACAGCTCCATTATCTAGACGCTACTAATTATCTAGGCCTATGGCCTAAACGACAAGTGCAATGCAGTCTACCTCTGCTTAGCCTATCTGAGCGGCCAGCGCTTGCCAACCGCCCTGTCTGTCGAGTAGGCCTAGCCTAGGCTTATTTACCTGTCATTTGAGGCAGAGGAGGCAAGTATTCCTGGTCTTAAAATAAGACTGATAAGTAGAAACATGATTAGGTTAGACAGTAACTTCTGCAATAACTGATATTACCTACCGTTAGACAAGTGGTTCAAATTGTTTGTTTTAATTCTGTGTTTACCAACAAACATGTCAATGGACGCCATGCTTGCTAGCTATAGAGAGCGTGTGCAGTGAAGTGTGTCGAAAGTTTGAATTTCGCGCTAATACGGTCCACTTTATGTAAGTTAGAAAAAAAAATATCTAAGAGGTGCACTGACAATGTTCAAATAAAATAAAACGAAAGCGACAAACAGAGAAAGTAATGCCATAGGCCTACTTATTTTTATTATAGTACCAATCAAAGTGTTCCTGAAGGGACCACTATTTGGACAATAACCCGAAATCGTAAAATACTTGGCAAGTAATTAGACCTAATGAATCTAAAAACGAGCTTTTAAGTTTGTTAATACTAAGAATGGTTTACATAACCAACGAAAACATTATATGTAAGAAATAGACTTACCGTCAATTTATGATTAATAATAATAATAATAATAATAATAATAATAATAATAATAATAATAATAATAATAATAATAATAATAATAATAATATCGAGCTTGTATAACAAAAAACATAGGCCTAATAAAAATTTGGAAATTATTAATACACAATTAATGTGGATTGAAATCTGATATGAACATAGGCCTGTAGGCCCTATACGTTATCTTAACAAGACATGAACAAAAATTAACCTCAGCATTAATGCGCCTCGTTTTCTCTTGTTGGTGGCGGATGTTCTATTGTGGCATTTTGTTGACTGAGCTGCTCTGGATGTGATGTGATGCATGGTGGCTCCCGAAATTTGCAGGGGGTCTGACATGTCCGACAAGGAGGTGGGGGGGGGGGGGGTGCGGACCAAGAGGCCGACTAGAGCCTCTCAGTCAGGGTCCCGGATGGAATAAAAATCCCTGGTAGTGTCCATGGGGAGAGTTTTTATACCTTTGTGGCCCAAATTGAGCTTTTAGACACCACAGGGATTGGAAATCAAAATTAACGTATTTGGATACAATAGGCAAATTAATACTTTTGGTCTGAAGTCCTTGTCCTGGCTCCGACGGGGGAGTTACCCTCACAAACCCCCCTCCCCAACGATGAAATGTTGCACTATTTGTGTGTGATGCGATATACGGTACTGTACCAGAACAACCCAGTATTTTTGAAAGGTGTAGAATAACAGACAACTGGAAAGTGACTTGACAGGTCTATGTACATGTATGGATCATTTCATATAGTTATTTACCGTCAAAAAGATATTGTATTAATGTAAAGTTTATGGCTCGAAAACATAATTGTAGATTGGTTTCGTTCAGAAATATGCAGTAAATTATGTATATATCTACTTATTATATTTATATATGTATATTGTCTTATTAGCTGACAAAAGATAGAAATGGATCGGACATATACTCAGAGATTACGGTCTTTTAAGAGATACAATTGAAGGAAAAATATAAGGAAAGCGGCCTCAATTATGAGAGTAATGTTTTTAGATGACCCGAGTGGAAATAAATGAAAGCTACGCCATTATGAAACGAAAATCATATGAAAGGGAAAATTGGAGGAATTGACTGTGAACTTGCCAGATAGGCAGAAAACAGATGATGATTTTCTGAACAATATTTATACAACTTATTTCAATAAGACGAGTAAACGGTATAATTAAGTATCAAGTAATTTATTGATACAATCGTTCAATGCGAATGCATAATCTGTGAATCTGTGATTGATTAAAGTAAACATAACGTTTCTGAAACAGTGTGATTGACAGCCTTCCCATGACCTTGAAAAATGTTAAGATCAACGGAGGTTTACTTATAATAAAAGTACATTCAATAAATATCTCATTCAGATATTCTTTTTATACAAAAAAATATATAAATAAATAAAAATAAAACAATAATATTACAAAGCAATTCACCTTTTATTAATGGTATAATTAACAATTTAACAATGAAATCACAGGCACATTTTAAGGGTTGTTCGTTTTATGAAGGCCCAGCTAAACTTTTCTTACAATGACTTACACAAGCTCGTTGACAAATCTCAGAACATCTTATAACAGGCCTGCCTGAATCTACACTAATCAAAAGCAATAATACGTCCTTTCACAAATAATTCAATATAACCGATCACCCTTTAATCTACAAAATAATGTAACAATTATGATATTGAGAATGATGATGATGATGATGATGATGACGGTGGTGATAATGGTGATGTTGATGAAGATGATGGTGGCAGTGATGATGATAATCGTCATAATAATAATGATGATGGTATGTATTAGAACAGTTACTGTACAACATGATGATAATAAAATAATACTATATTTGTATATAACTTGATATTAACAATCATGAAGCACAATAGCTACAATGGAAACCAATTCAGGCAATTAGTGTTCATTAAATCCTGGTTTCCATAGAATCGCTACACTGTCGCTACAGTGTTTTAAGTGTAATCGTACTACGTAGCGGTCCCCTACGCAACTCGGAAGGCTCCCCAACTTGACCGACCAATCAGCATCACCGAAGACTGTCGGCGATAGCATGTAGCGATTGTATGGAAACCAAGCTTAATTAGAAAACAAGAAAATTTACCTCCGTCTATACTGTAATAATAAGTGACCTAGAAAACTGTTATATAAATTTGACATTGATTATTTCTACATTTGTATTTCTCTTGTTCCAATCAGCGGTCGCTCCAGAAATTTGCTGACAGGGAGTCCGAAATGTCCGACAGGGGGTCCGAATCAAGAGGACGACGACCAAGAGGCTCTTTGAGGGTAGGGTTCATGAGAAGAGTTTTTATGACGGGATAGCTAAATTATCTGTTTTTGGTCCGACGACATCATAGTGGCTTTGGATAATGGGTGGTCCATACCTGGGGGGCGGTGGGGATGGGCGTGGGATGCCCTCCCCTGCCCCACTGTAACCAAGTGGAAAAAATACTTGATTACTGAATACAATATTTAGTCTGGGATGGGGATCATTTTGCATCATTTACTTGACAGCCGAAATCATTATTACTGTAAGCATAAAGCAACATGCAACTCACATTTTATTTTACAAAGTTGTATCAAAGCATCTATTGTTCGATACCAACATTCTAAATGTACCATGTTCATTACATGGATTAAGTTTGAATTTCCTTGGTGTGATCATAGTGTGATACACACAAAAGTTAACTCGCGAATGTCTTAAGACTTATTTCCAGTGTGGTCCTATTGGTGGTGAATTGGATAGTACACCGGGAAACAATCTCCTACTCTTTTCCGAAGAGTGCACTGCGTTCTTCATCATGCATATGAGCCATTTTGCACACGGGACCAACGGCTTTCACACTTCATCCGGAAGACAGTGGGTGAGCTATTGAAACTTGCATTTCAGCCCTCCAGCTAAACCACAAGAAGAACAGCGATGGGAACCTAGAGATCTCCAGGGCTCAGCACATACACAGGCTACCACCAGTTTAGTCGACTAAACTGGCTGCTGCTGAATACAATGTTACAAAAACTGTATATGCGAGAAAATACACATGAATCATATTTATCCTTATATGTGTCAAAAACTATATAATCTATATAAATCTAGATACAAATAATTCCACTGACTTAAAAAAAATCCACAATAAATAATTGTATTTATGTGTCTGCTAAAAGAAATTTCGAAATTTGGGTAGAAATCTAATATTTATGCACAATATTTAAAAATCTATTAGTTCAACACAACCTGCAGTATCTTTTATGATATAATTTTGTTTATATTATACAATAGCTCCATATTTGACCTTGTTGATATAGCAACATAATAGTAATATATGACACACCAAAACCATTTCTATCTGTGTGCAACATCAAAGTAATTCATAGCACCCAAAGACCATGCATTCTTGACATGCTATGAGAGTGTGTGCAGTAAAGTAATACATGAATATTAAATTAAATTTTTTAATTTAATCTAATTTAAAAAAAAATAAATAAATAAAAAAATTGGATGTGAATGGTGAATGTAATAATTTGTATATGTAACATTTTATTATAATTCCAAATGGTCTTACCCTTTGTAAAATAAAGAAACAGTCAAAGTTTAAAATGTCAAACAGAAAATGCTTAATTTGTGTCAAAAAATAGATTGTACTATCTAGCACAGTCTGCCAATTAATTCTTGGTCTTCTTTATTAACAACACCATAAGAGAATGAGGATGCATTATGTTAGTTAGCATGGATATTTGCATATTAAAAGGAATGATTCTATTATTTCAGGGGGGTGTTTGAATTGAGAAACTATGGTGTGTTATCAAGGTAAGTATTAAAAAAATAGATTACACTATCTAGCACAGTCTGCCAATTAAGTTTTGGCCTTCTTTATTAACTACACCATGATAAAACAGCATGGACATTTGCATATTTAGAAGAATGGTTCTATTATTTTTTTGGGGGGGAGGTTGTTCTAGTTCAGAGACTATGGTGGTTTATCCAGGAAATATTCAAAAAATAGATTGCACTATTTAGCACAGTCAGCCAATTAAGTCTTGGTTTTCTATATAAAACCTATGTATTTTTTTTTTTAAATTGGGGGCTTGCACGTACATTGGAAGCAATTATATATACATGCCATGCAAAGATTGAAAAGCTTGCAGACATCGAACACACCCTCATCTTGAAAATGTCCGAGTAAAGCGGTAGATGGTCAATTAGGATGCTTGACTTCAAATTATGAAATCCTGGGTTCAAATCAAGCAAACACCCATTTGTTTTAATAACTAAAACTTCACTTCCTAAGCCTCATAATGAAGACTTATGTCATCGAGAATATTCCATCTTGTATCAGTTAACTCACTGATGAAAATACTTCTATTTTTTTTTATATATTGTATACACATGCCAGTTAGATATAAAGATATTGACCCTATCTGTGCATGAATCCTATCACCTTATCTTGAAATATCCTTGACAGATCTGGGGTCTGTCAATCATTGCAGACGAAACTCCAACAAGGAGTGAGCGTTATTATCTTCAGTAGTTGCTTTCACCGCATTTTATTGGTTCTTTCTAATCATCATCACTGTAATCGTTATCTTCATCTGTGGTGTAATCTGAGCCATCACTTTCGTTATCGTCTTTCTCTTCTTCGTTATCGGATGGCTCAACTTTGACCTCCTTCGCTTCATGCACAGTAAGCTGTAATAGCAAAATAATAATAGTAATACAGCAAAATAGCAGTATAGTATTATTATATTAATATTATATTATTATTATTAATAGTAATATTGTAATAGCTGTAATAGCAAAACAAATATAGGTTTTGGTTTTAATGGTATTTTAAATTACAACATAATAGTACCGGATCTAATTTCAGTGAGAGGGAATTTTTTACATTATGTTAAAAACTTTTCATGTATCTTTTTTTTTTTTTTATCCCTAAATGTCTCATTGGCATAGGCCAGGGGTGCACACACATACTCCATGGCAGCAACCTAGTCCCACTGGGTGAATTAAAATACTAAAAACTACTATTAAGTTTTCATTGGAATAGGGATTTAATTCTGCATTCTCAATTTTCGCAACCCCCACCCCCAACCCTCCGCCGTTTCGCACACCCACAGGCCAAAACCAGCCTATGTCCCTGTGTCATGACCAACATTTCAAATATTAGGAGCTAGAGGACTAGTCATGTGTCTACAGGCTAGAATCTGCCTTATCTATGCCTTCTCTTGGGCTACTTTACTAATCTACATCAATAAACGTATCAATATAACAACAAAAACAACAATAAAAAAATTAAAAGCAGCAACAGCAGCAGCAACGATGGTGTCGACAACAACATTACTGTCAAATCACAGAACAATTCAATATGATATTAAAAATTACATATAAAATTTCACAAACATATAAAAAATAACTAATAGTAATTAATCATTACATATCACATTTCTATAATTCTGTACAAAAGAAAATAGATAGTAAAAACATACTGTATAGCATTGTAAACATGCAAACAACAATAACTAAAAAATTCATATCTTACCTTCATAGGTATTAATCTGTTCAGGTCTATGTAAGAATCGGAGGACACACAAATATGGTAATGATAAAGTCCTTTCTTGCTTGCAGTAAATTGCAGTAAAACCTGCAGGAATAAAACACATTTTTTTCTAGGCATGGAATATCATGAATCATTCCAATACTACATTCCATAATAGAATTGTTTAATTTCCATATGTATATATTGTTATATTCATATTTAATATTATATCTGTTAATTTTTGTCTTGTATAGTATAGTGATGTTTTCGATTTCTACTGTTTGTTATCAACTCAAAGAAACAAATCTCGTATATATGTACTACAGTATGTATGACGAAAATAAATCTTGAATCTTGGAATCAGAGAAAGTGGTGACACAGTAGAACAGGTATTATGTTTCATCAAAATTGTTTTTCACCCATAAAATAATAGTTGAAGAATGCAATTTGAAAGGGTCAAATCTGCTTTAATATACACACATACAAGACTGCATTCATGAATTAAATAAATTCTACAAAAATGAATATATTACCCAGCATAAGGTAGAAATTACATACTACTACTGAATAATAAATAATATAATATTTTTTAAAACAACCATTTCAAAGTTTTGAAGAATAAATTATATTAAGGTATATTTTAACTCCAAAATCCCCTCTCCTTTAGGACATTATATATGTACTGGGGATCAAATTTGATAAACAACCCTTACAAAACCTTTATATATAAAATATATACAAACCTCTTTTTCTTGTTCAGGCTTTAAGTCATAAACCATATTGGGTACTGTGATTAATTTCTTTGTTTTCCTATCTGCGATGTAGACCCACCACCATTCTTGTTTTACCTAAAAACAACCAAGAACACCAAAATGTTTTATTACATACATCAAAATATTTTAAAATGTTAAAAGCCAAATTTTAAACTTGCTCTACTACATAATTTTATAATTTTAACTTTAGAATGTTTCACTTGCAATTTTCTTAAAATGTTATACTGTATGATTTGTATGAAGCTCTGCACACACTGACATATGCCCAGATATAGCCATTGTGTGCCTATATATGGTCATGATGTGATGTCATCATGACCATATTTAGGCATGTCACATGTTTTTGTCAAATAAAATTTGATAGTCTGGACAGGGCATTAGATCTTATCATGTGCAGTACCGTAAATGCTCAAGTAAGCGCTGCGGCGCTTATAAAATTGTTTGAGGCTTCGGTGCAGCGCTTATTCGAGAGCTGCGCTTTTATAAAAAAATATTGGCGTGGCACAAGCCCGTTCTCATGTTACCAATCTCACGTATCCCTGTAGTTTAGTAGGCCTATCATAGGTCATACGTCATCGTTGTAAATAAACGTTTATAATGCCGCTTGTGTCTTCATCATGTTATTTATTCATTTAACACTGTATACATTGTTTTTAAAACCCTGTTTCTCAAAGTGTTTCATTACACATAGGATAATAAAAATTAAAAAAAAACTTAAAAAAAAAAAAAAATATAAAAATCTATGCTGCTTGTCATACGCAAGAAGAAGATTACACATAGGGTAATAATATAATCTCAATTAAGCGCCGCAGCGCTTATTCAAGAGCAGCATTTAGCGAATAAAATCAAGTTTGGTGTGGCACTTATTTGTGAGCGGCGCTTATTCGAGCATTTACGGTACACAGCATATACACAAAAAATTATAATTCAGTATGGAGTGACCTCTCCATTAGCTATAAAAAATAAAAAACGTAGACCCACCAAGTTTAACAATAATTCCAAAGACTTATAATGGGCCTTTTTGCCAAGCGATGCAAAGCTCTGACGATGTTTTTCATCCTGGTCACTGGAACCAAAATTTGACAAACCGGCACAGATACAGACTAATACTTGCAAGGCCTCCCCGACGGGGAACACTCCCACAATGAAATGGGAAATTAAGAAATACTTACATCTGGAAAGTAAGGACAATGGACTATGTGAGATTCTCTTGATTGGCCTTCAAGAACTTTCTCCTTCCTCTTGATGTCGGATTGGAATGTGTTCCAATCATCCTCCTCATCGTCGTCGGTTGATGATACCATAATTGCATCCTCATCACTATTAACAGTATAGAAAAAAAACTATTTCTAACCAATCAAATATTAATAGCATTTGCTTTAGAAGATTCTGTTATTGTCATGATCCCTTCGCCAACGTTGAAGTGGCAATAAACCCGTTGTCCGGTGACCAGCAGAATTATTACGGTTTGAGAAACAAAGCAGAACTGTCAAAAGACACATGCAAAATGCACAGCAAGTATACAAACCTCTAACGCTGAGTGCTCAAACCTAGACCATCACATCAAACACTCCAATATATTACCGTATCAATAAAGACACATTATAAGTTACGAAATCAATAACAAGAAATGAATCAAATGATACAAAGTAGAAAAATATTGACTGACCCAAAATAGTCTCCCTCAATGTCCGATCCACTCTCTGAGTTTTCTTTCTCCTTCTCTGCTTCCTGGAAAATAACGACATTTGACATGTAGCTTGTGTAGATTTGCATGGTATGTTTCTCTTTGGTGTGAAACAACACCAAAGATAACTGATGAAATTTGAAACAACATTTTTTTAGTGGGGTCCATTGGGCATTACACCAGGAGAAAATCACCAACTTTTTTTGTGTACTACATTTCTTTTTAACATGCACATGGAACATAGGGCACACAGGACCAATGTTCATATATCTTGCATGTATCAATAAAGGTTTATAATATATCATCATTTATAGAATAGGAATCAAACAACTTTAAACTATTAATAAAACTGAGAGAGAAATATTACACACCACCACTTCAGTAGAGATTACGCCATTGGGCTTAGTTTTGTTTGCTATCGCTTTTTTTGCTTTCTGCTTTTTCTTTGCATTCCCTCCACCACCTTTCTTCTTATTTCCTTTCTTTTTCTGCTTTTCCCAAACTTTTGGTTTAACTTTAACTTCCACCTGAATGATAGAAAAGGACATAATTGTATTAAATTGACTGGTAAATAACTTAAAGAGTAAAATTTGTTTACCTCGACAACCCTGTCCTCTGTCTCATCACCAGCATCTTCTTGTTCTTCCTCCGGCTCCTCAGTACCCACTTCAAAGTGAGACTAATAATATTGAAAACAACAATATTTATTACATCCAGAGGCACAATGTCTGTTATTTAATAAAAGCAAACGCAACCACTGTGGAAGTATGTTTCGTATGGAAGCATTGGTCAGTTTATATGATTGATTACGATTCAATAGTTAGTATTAATTTTTTGTAAACCTTTGAGGAGATTGTTATTGATGAAACACAGTACCAGAAATACGCAGGCCGTGTATGTTTTGCAAAACTACAACATACCCTAAATGAAATAATGGAATAAAATGTTGTATGCACTCTGCTCTATTTTGACTGGTGATGTACAGAAGGCAAGTAACACAGGGGCAGATTTGGTGGTGGAGGGGAGCGGGCCAGCCCCGGCCTCTCCTTTTGGAAGGTAAAAAAGAAAAAAAAAAAGAAAGAAAGAAAGAAAAAGAAAAAAATGGTCGCCCAAATTGACTCATAGGTTATTTTCGGGCGTCCATAACACAAATATTTTGCGGGGGCATGCCCCTGGACCCCCTAGGGTAGTATTATCTCGATCGGCTGCACTTTCAGATTTCTGAAGGGGGTTTATTTACCACTATGGCTATATTATTGGGTAAAAAAGCAAATGCTCAAAATTAACCAAACACCAAAATTTAGAGCCATGAGAAAACAATCTTAGAGTGTGCAGTTTATATGAAGTAAACAATTTTTTTTGAGTTACCAACCTCTATACTGTTTCTTTTTAGTGTCACCACAACTGTTACTAAACAACCTTCAGTGACAGTTTTTGTATCTTCGTCATCACGAACTTAAAGAAAATACAAAATGTTAGTTTAATTGGAATGGATTTTTTAAATGATAAACGAAAGGACAACAAAAGAAAGAAAGCGAGTATGGGACACCAATTTAATTTGCTAAGTGCAATAAAGAGGGAGTAACCAAAAATCAGGGCCGGGAACCAAGGCTAGACCAACGGCCTAAGCAGCTTGCACCTTAGCCCTCCAGTAGGAACACAAGAAGAGCAGCAAATGAAATCGAAACTCCGACAATAGGTCGGAAAATATCTCCACAGTGCATACACTGTGGCTATCACTAGTTTATGAACCTACAGTAATGCTCTTGTTTTCTTTCATTTGATGCAAACCCCATTGGTTGTTTGTTTTAATGGACAGTTCTTTTCATTGTTCTGCACTCTAGCTGAAATAGAACCAATGAATGAAATTCAAATAGAAAGTCATATTGTTTAACCTTGAGGCTAATTTTAATAAAAAATGATACAATTTTTGGGTGATAAGGTAAAAACTCTGGGTAAAAAGAGAAGGTCACGAAAAATAAAAAATCACACAAGCATGCATTTCGCTTATTTTAGTACAACAGTACTCCCTACCTTGTATATCATGCTCTACATTTACATACGGCAGTTTAAAACACACATTCTTTACATCTTCGTATTCTTTATCACTCATAAATGTCAGCATTTGCCTGAAAACAACATAATAATCTAACGTCAAAATATGTTCATATTTAAATCAAAGCACTCCAGTTGTTTTTGAAGTACTGTATAAACAATGCACACACAGAAATAGTGGTAGATCCAGAGGTATAACAAAACTAGGAGGTGCATTTGTATGCCTTATGGATTGTCGTAGTTAAATGATGTACAGTGTATGAGGAAATGTCACAAGTTTTCAGTACCATTTTCTCAACTACCCATTTTTTGTTTATTAGATGATGCAGGCCAAAGGTTTAACCCTCCAGCAAGGCCCTGTCGAGGATAGGCCTGATCTTTATAATATGCCCGAAAAAAAGCTAGGGGGTGTAGCCGTCTTAAATTTAAGGCTGGAACATAGCGTGAACCATTTTTTACAGCCCGTCCACAATGCAAGCTGACGAGGAGTAGACAGCGCGAGGCTCTCAACACCCAACCAGGAGGCTGAAAACCTTAACAGCATCAGCTGTGCCAACCGCCTTCCTTGCCAGTAAGCCGACTTTACGAAGAGTGATCATTTATGGTCACTGCTAAAAAGTTGTAAAATGAATTGTTTGTAGTCATGTGCAAGTCTGTCTTCAAGACAAACCTTAAATTCTAACTGTTACATTTATATCTGTCCCTTCACAATATGCATATTATTCTTAGCAACAAAAATGTGTTTATACCTTCTATTAATATTCTTCATCTTGGCAAAATTGACTAATGTTTTGATATTATGCTGAAAAATTGAAGAAAAATATATAGATGATCATCAACGAATAATAATAATGAATCAAAGTTAAAAAAAAGTCAAAAAATACTGGGAAAAATACACTATTTAATCAACTTATGAAACCATAATGCTACAATATAAATTGTAAACTTACATTGTTTAAAATTAAATTTATTGTACAAAAATATTGTATTTAGTGCATGTTTTGAACAATAAAACAGCTGTGTTTTCGTTTTTCACTTCATAAATATTCTGCAAACATGATTCTGTTTTCAAACCCTGTATAGACTATTATATTGTATTGAAAAAACATGTGATTTGCCTAAATATGGTCATAATGGCATCGCATCATCACCATATAAAGGAACATCATGACTATATATGGGCATACAACAGAACAACAGAGCTTTAAAAGTTACCTTTCTAGATCCACAGTGATGGACTGTCTTCTCGTTGAAATGTGGAAGTTGATAAAGTGGAGACTTCTTATCCCAACATGCCTGCACAATCATAGCACACATTTTCATCATATTCTCAACAGACTCAAGCTTCGGCTCATGTTGAGCTACAAGAAACAAAGGTATGATAAGAAATTAGGTCAAATTATGTAAAAATGGGTCAAATTTGGATAAATTAGATCAAATTAATATAAATTAGGTCAAATTTGGATAAATTAGGTCAGATCAGCCTGAGATCCAGTCCAAGTTCATCAACACTTTTTTTTTGCTCCAAACCGGCTTAGAAGAAATTTTTCTGAAGCAAAATGTGTAAACAAATAAAAAAAAATATGCCTTTAAAACGTCAAAAAAGTTGGCGAGACTTTACCCAGAATAACAGGGCTCTACCTGGACCCAGCCTCAATGCTGGTGGGACCTGAAGAAGCTTCAGACAGGAGCATCATTTCCCTTTGAGCATGAGCAAGGTACAAGTACTGTATTGTTTATCTCATGCCTAAGACACTTCTGGGTTTACAATATAAAAAATAGCCACTGGTAGAACCTCAGCTATTTCATATACACAGCGTTTTGTGATGATTAAAGAGGGCGCACGCTAAACCGAACACTAATAATAGGAAAATATGAGTTATAGCTGGTAAAATATACACTTTGGAAAAAATTGATAAATACACAGCAGCCTACCTCTTCCAATGTTTTTATAAAATACAATCTGTCCTGCAGTGCTCACCATCTCATGTATTAACATAGGACACTTGCGCACAATGTACTCTTTATCTGTTAAAGATATGAAAGAGAAACTAAAGTATTTCTAAATTATCTACAATACAGTGAATATAAATGTAACATGTAATAAATTATGATAAACTCTGGGAAAGCAAAACATTTTTTTCATGTTTTTTTATTTTTTATAAATCTATTTTTTTATAAATCAATATTATTATTAGGACAAAAGGTATTTTACTGCCTAGGCATTGATTTTTGAAAATTTTTATAGTGAAAAACAAAAATTACCAATTTGAAGTGTGTTGGGTGGTAGCGACAGACGCGATAAGTGGGCATGCATCAGTACCCTAGCCTTCACACTGTATGGCTGGCACAACGGTTGTTCTTTGTTCTTCTGCCCGACATCAAGATCTCTCATAATCTAATACAAAAAAAATGTTATATATAGAATTTTCATTAGAATTACAAACTAAGGACAAGACAACCATTTCTATCTTTATTTTCAGTAGAAGTACACTGGAAATACATAATTCCAAGATAACCTACGGTATCCCCCAAGACACCATGTCTTGAAAAGATGAAATTTCAGTACAATAATTTCAACCAAGCTTTACAGTAAAACACAGGTTAACTTTTAAATGCCTTCAAAGACTTGCACCTTCCTATTTAATTAATATGTTTGTTTTTCTGTAAAATCTTTTGGTTCCTTAATGTATTTTACTTTATGCTGTGCACATTGTTGATCCATGTGATTAGCACCTCTCTCCATTCAATAATAGCCTAAAAGCAGTGGTGGAGCCAGCAGGGGCAAGGGGTTTTAGTGCATCAGATAGGCACTGGACCCCCCGTCGCCCGACCACACGACTAGGTCATTGGATCAAAAATTTAAATAATAATGATTTGCCTATCCAAATCACATTATTTTGATTGCTAATCCCTAATATTGTGGTCTAAAAGCAAAATTTCGACCATACTAAGCCACGAAACTCTCCCTGTGAATCCAAACAAGAATTGTTTTATTCCGGGTCGTCGACCGCTTGGTTCGGACCCCTTTGCCGGAGATGTCGGACACCTTGTCGGCAAATTTCTGGCACAAACGATGCCTAAAAGCTGAACATGGATTATCTTATCAAGTATCCTTAAGGTCTATCCACATCAAATTTTCATTGACAAACAACAGTTGTATGCCTATATATAGTCATGATGTGCCTAAATACGGTCATGATGTAATGTCATCATGACCATATTTAAAGTATATCACATGTTTTGAAAGTCTTTACAGGGCTTTAGAAACAGGTACAGTATATCAAAAACAATGTAGCTTGGAATAAAAGGAGGTCACTTTAAGCTTTCTTAAGAAAATGTTTATGTAGCAAAGACAAGCCAAACCAGTCACTCGTCGCAAATCCTGTTTTCTGAGAAAATGGCCAAAACAAGTTGGAATGTCATTTTTGAAATCTATTTTATTGCACTAAACTAACCTTCATACTGTATATCTATATAGCATATTATGCTGTTATTTTCCTCATTTTCTATGTTAAAACAACAATTTTTAATGATTTGGTGATGGTTTCTGGCTGAGAAATGCCCAAAATCATAAACTTTGAAAGCCGATTTCTCAAATTTTGTTTAAACTGTTGCATGTCTAAACTCCTGTAACTTCATAACAAAATGTTGGATTTTAATGATTCTTTTACCATTTTATATATCTTATTTTACTGTTTAACCCTGTATTAATAAAGAAAAATTGATTTTTACGAAGAGTGACTGGTTTGGCTTGTCTTTGCTACATATGGTAAGCATAAAAATACAACACAAAAACACCAATTTAAAAAAATTTCTAAATAATGTTCAGCATACCTTTGGCAGTTCCTCATTATCGCTAGGTCTACTGTCTATTTCTTTATTATGTGTTTTTCTGAATTCAAGTGAGGCACCAAGAATCATCAATGCACCTGCAAATTATGAATAAGAAGTTATACGAAAAAGTTACTAGTTAAATAGATGAAATTCATATATATATCATAAACTTTATGTATTGTACAATACTTTTTAAAAGTAGTATAAATAATAGCATATATAACTTAAACAAAGACAGAAAAACGACATCTTTTTGAGACACAATAAAATGAGATCAATTATTTTTTTCTTATCAAGGAAAAGAAGAAAAAAAGAAGATAACTTACGCTTAAGATTCATAGCTGGTGTTTTATGTATAAAATAAAAATAAATTTGAGTTGTTTCTAGAAGAACTTCAACAGCACTATATTTTATTGAGCGATACCACCAGGTACCCTGAAAAACAAATGCGTCCATTATTACTTACAGCAGGAAAAATTTGTTGGTTAAAACTGGTGCACAGTTCATAATTGCTTTCAATAATCTGCTTAGACTGACTGGCACTACATTGGGTTAAGTACTCTCACAAGCTGTAAACCAATTTGGTAACCCACCAACAAACAACGCAGTGTGGGGCATTAGAAATGAGAAGTACTGTTTCAAAAAAAAAAATAAATAAATAAATACTTATGCTTATTATCTCTAAGCATAAAAAACGAGAAATAGTTCCACTATTTTTAGGTTTATCTATTTCCTTAAAATGTCATTTTGCATTTTGTATGGTGATTTGAGGGGAGGTTTTCACTACTTGAGTGTGATATTTTGGGGGCCACAGGGGGCCCTGAGCATCTTTGGGGGAGTACACCCCCTGAGCACCCAGATACGCTACTGCACAGGTGATCAATATAACTACTTATAACTACTTACAACAGCAATAGGTAGGATGACCATAAAGGCTAGAGTATATACAGCAAGTATCTGAAAAAAAAACCAAGCAAATATAAACTATAAAACTGATTTTGATTTGATTATAACACTTGTTTGCCAACAGCTAACAAGTAAGCGAAGTCTCCTAAAGCAGTAAAGCTAAATATCCACGTTGAATATATGACACTGAAACAATTTAAATATAATAAATATTCAAATTAAGCTATATGCTGTGAAAGTTCATTAGTCAAGGGGTGGATTGCTATAAAACGGTCTTAACTGGTAGTCTTAAAAAAATAAAAATAAAATATTATTTTTTTTTTAGCAAATAGTTTTGCTCAAAAACATCCAGACGGAGGAGAAAATAAAAACAACATTTTTATTGGTGAATGTAATCAGTGTAGAAATAGGATGCTTAAATGCGGCATGTTCACTAAACAAAAAAAAATCAACTAAACTTGCATTTCGACTAAAAAATACAACCTACCCAAACAGAATTACTTTGGTCAACAATCCAAGCAGGCAAAGCTATACCAAATGTGGCTGCAGTAGGCCCATCTGGGTTCCCATACTTCTGCCAATTCACCTTAGAATCTTCATTGGTCAAACTATTAAAGTAAACAAATGATTAACCATCATACATCATATTTGAGAATTGAATTATGGATTTCCAGGTAGTTTTTGTGCTGAATGTAATAAATAAATAAATAAATAAAAATTTCCTGGATCCGCCACAGATATTTGTCTTTCTAAGATCAGACTAACTTAGGCTCGGATATATTCAGTGTAAACACCAAGGATAGCCCACGGAAGTCTAGAAGAAAACTTATTTCCAGTAGGATCCTTCTAGTGGTGATTGGGAAGTACACCGGAAAACAATCTACTACTCTTTTCTGAAGAATGTACTGGGTTCTTTAACGTGCACATGGGCCATAAATGCACACGGTACCAACGGCTTAAACGTCTGAAAGACGGTGCACTATTGTAACTTGTATTTCAGCCTCCATCTGAAACACAAGGAGAGGCAGTGATGAGAATTGAATCTCCACGGTTCTGCACACACAGTGCCTACCACTAGATTAGCCGACTGAGCTAAGCTGCTCTCTCTCACTTACGCTTCATATGCTTTTGCTATTCTCATGAACATCTTTTCATCTCCTGTTTCTTTGTCAGGATGGAACTGCCTACTCAGTGATCGGTACTGGCGTCTAATTTCGCCTTCACTTGCCTCCTAAAAAACCAGAAGTAACAATTCATTTATCAAATAGTAAAAATATATAATATAATTTGTTATATAAAAGAATGTGTAATTAGTATTTTTTTTATAGTTTTGAAATCAATGCTTTTAGATAGATATAGAATTATATGTTCACAAAAAAATATTCAATATTATTAAAACATTGCCATAGAATCTTGATTAATGTCAAAATTTACTCTATTATACTATAAAAAAAAAATATAAATAAATAATAGATGAAAGAGAGAGAAAGACTGGAGGAACAATAATTATTCTGGCAGGACAGTACTCACTCTATCGAGGCCAAGGATTTCAAATGGATCATATTCCTGATGGTCCCGCTCCAGCTGGGATGCTTTGTAAGCTAGCGCAATAAATAAACACCACGCTAAAACCAGGAGAATCCACCTGTAGGAAAAGGGGCAAGTTCCATCAAAATCAATTAGTTACAAGAGATTTTTGTTTGCTCGCAGAAGCAGATTTCTGTGAGATTCTTGTGCCTTGTTGAAGACTTTGGACTTCTTTGTAGCAAAAACAAAGAAACAAGACATCCCCAATAAAAATCAAAATTAGGCAGGATTTATACAAATATCTCGTAGAAAATTATTTTCCATTGTTTCTACAGTAAAATTTAGCCTTTTCTAGAAAATACTAAATGAGGACAAATCAAAGATAAAGGGAAGAGCAAGTATACTTACTTGAGAGTAGATAATAATGTTTTTTTAGGCGTAACTGTTAATAAGACCGCCTTTTTTTTTACACATCCTTCACATTTGCACGAGTCTTTTTCTTCCTCTTTATCTACAAATTAAACGTTTCTTCAGATTATCATCATACATTTAAAATTATCATTATACTTTAGTTCTTCATAGCAAAAAGTGGGCCAAGAAATCTGTCTGCACATTTCTGAAAATAAGGGCAGATTTCCATGCATATTTTGACGAATATTTGGCTTTGATCCAATCTTAATATATACCCATTCTAACCAGGGAGTTGTTCTAATAACAACTCCCTGTTCTAACTAACCATTGTATTATATAGTAGGCCTAGGCCTAGTTATGATTCTGCACATCCTAATGATATTCCACACAAATTTGAGCTGTTTTTGATGCACTTAAAGTAAGTACACTTTCAAAATTACATCCCCGGCTATAGATCCCTGCTAGGCTCGGGTCCAGGGCGCTGGGAATACAATTGGAAAGTGCATAAATGTTGGAACCATATCATAATGGAATTTTGGTGGTTCAAAACTCCTTCTTGGCAGTCTTGCTGTCCATTTTGTTTGTTGTGGCGTACTTATCTTTTAAAGTGGCAGCATCACATGCCATCTCTGTTAGTCTACCTACCAAGGCTAGGCCCTACTGTGCCTAGCCTAGCCATACCTACTAGGTCTACGCCATAGGCTAGAAAGAATTGCATAGGCCTAGAATTTAGGCAAGGTCTAGGACTAGGCCTAGGCCAAAGCCCAGGGGTAGCCTATTGAAACAAAACAAAAATAGAACTTACTTTCCTTTTGTCTTGAAGGGATTAACCAATAAGTAATAGGAATTAGAAATAATGCATAAAAAGAAACTAGAAAATACAACGATGTGCCACCAGACTCATCGTACTCAAACTGTGCCATATTGCGACGATAAAAAGATCACCGGTCATGAATCGGTCGTCGCGGGGGAAAGAACAGGATGTCGTGTCAAAAATGTACGTCGTTGGCGGCGCTGCGTAGACCGCGCTTTTTTAGAATCTACACTAAATAAAGATAAATTTCCGTACCGTAGCAACTACGGACGTTCCGTAGAACGTGAGAAGTCTGATATAGAGGGTGTAAACACTGATTTATTGAATTGCCGTTTTTGTTCATTGTGAATTTGTGAATGCTCGCGCAGAACGTGACCTGGGATTTTTTTTATATGTTGTAAAGAATGATTTAAAATAAATATACTGAACATCTAGAAGATTTTTAATTACTTGACGGTGATTTTTCGTGGGGGCCCGGGGTAGAAGTAATTTTTGGAGGGGCGTGAGAGCCCCCCCCCCCAGCGCATCCCCTAGATAGCCTACGCCATCGGGTACGCCACTCATGAATGGTAGTAATGTCCATTTGGTGGTGAGGAGTAGGGCTAACTATTTTGTTTTATTTTCAGGTTAAATATGAAGTGGCCTGGCTAAGAAGAGCCTGTAACACTGAGACTCCGAACGAATTCGCAATTACAATATTTAGGTAGGCAATTAATTCATGCCTTTTAAAAGAACCAACGATCAATTATATGTATTTTCAAGAATCGTTTTCGTATTTTATGCATAAAGGGAACGAATTTTGTCAATTTATTACTAAAAATGTCAAAGACTAGGCTGTATATACTGTTTGAAAAGAAATACAAGTTAAAAATGGAAGACAATTCAAGAGCGGTTCGATTCAATATTCTGTTATATATATGCTGTTATATTAAACATGTAGGATAGATATCTTTTCTTTACAATTGTATTCGTTATTGTAGATTATTTTATTACAAGAAAACATAACCTTGAACATCGAGGCATTCATTTAACCAAGATCATATAATCTGTGATTCAACGTTTTGGTGATGACACAATTAACTTTGGCTTGCTGTTTTTTTTTTCCCTCCCGGTTTTCTTAAAATCTCTCTAACAGCGGGAAACCCTTTAATGCAACATAAAAATTAAAAGATATAATACAATTTCAGATCAAATTAACATTAGAATAATACTGTATTAAAAACCACAAAAAGAAATTAGACAATCTTAGAAATTTTGTTAGTAAAACTTTGGAAAGACGGGTGACAGTTCTATTATGTACTTACGATATTGATGACGGTATGTGGCGGTATCAAATTAAGCTTAGGCCTCACATAATTATTTTACTTCAATCTTCGTCGTCTAACTATAATCGTATTCATCGCCGTCCATCTATTTTCATCATCACTATCATCATTTTTATCGTCATCGGCATTATCAATGCCTTCAACAATCTCTCCATATAATAACTATAACAATCATCACGAACTATTATAAGAACTACAGTATAATAATCTTTGCCTCGATACTGGAATGATTCCATCTGCTGGTATTGACAATTTGTGTAATAGTGAATGGAACTTGACAGATGAAATGTTCTGTACGTCCGTCTTCAAAACTTACGTATGTCGTCGGGCCGCATTTTGCCCACCTGTACTAAATATACACACACCACATTATCTATGCACTTAATGTGTCATAATTCATGCTTACTTCAATAAGAAATCACAATGTTGGGAAATTTATCTTTATACAAAAGTAAAGGAACATCAAATCAAGATATTCACAGTATTTTTTATTCAAATTATGAGCACGTTTGTAGAAGATGGCCTTGGATATCAAAGATTTTGAGTTTTACCATTTTGGTGCAACCGGGCTAGCTTATGGATCCAGTGACAAGAAGAGTAAAATTGCCTGCATTAAAGTGCTACAAATTATTAAAGATAAATACAAAACATTGAAGTGGAGCTGTAAGTTTGATACTGTAGTTAATGCAACAGCCTTCCAATCGCAGGGTTCTGGGTCCAAATCATTTTAAACCATCATTTCATATCTCATGACCAAGATACAACTCAACTTTTTAAGCACCATAATGTGATAGAAATGGGAGTTGCAGTTGCACTTGTAAGATGACTCGTACGAGGTACATCAATTTTAAAGAAAGCACCAGACACTCCCTCCTACCAGGAGCTAATTTGAAGTGCCGAGAAATATTTACAAGTTTTAACTTGGCAGCTGAAATGCTAGCATACAGCTGTTGTGGTGTCACTGGAGGTCAGGGTAAAAAAAAATTCTACACTGTACTAATTTGGAAGGACCCCACTGGAAATAAGCCTTCTTCAGACTTCTTATGGGCTATCCTTGGTGTTAAAACACCTTATAAAAACATCCATCCATTGTGGAAAAAAACTTGAAGCCATAAGAATGAAAACATTAATTATCCAATCCAGCCAGGTATTGTATAACATTCTCTGCTCCTCTTGTCTCCCTTGGAGGTCACTTTGGCTTAAACTCCCTGTTAGATGTCTCTGATCCCACTGTTAGTAAAATTCTCTGCCCCTCTTGTCTCCCTTGGAGGTCACTCTGGCTCAAACTCCCTGTTAGATGTCTCTGATCCCACTGTTAGTAAATTTCTAGAGTGTCAACTGACGTACAGTCCTTGATCAAGAATTTTTCCACGTTTATTGAATGCAATGCACACTTTGGATTGTTTATATATAGAATATGCTTATTGAAATCTATATAAGAAATACCAAATACATTTTGGAAAAAGCAAATATTATTTAAAAAAATTTAATTACTTCAGAAAATACTGAGATGGGTTTTCTTTTTTGCTTCATGTCATTAAATTTTTTTAAAAGAAATTCACCTTTTCAAACAATGATATTTTCTTACTGACATATGCATTGTAAACGTCTTTACATTGGGCACCTTGTACAATAACGACAGTACATAACAAAATTTTATATCAGATTAGCAGCTGATGATAAGCAAGGCTTTATAATTATTCTACAATGGAGTTACACTATGCATGAAAACTACACAGGTGTACACAGGTCTCTATGCTGAAAATTACGGACAAAACAAGTTTGTACAATTACATAAAAAAAAAGGACAATTTTTTAATCTGCTTATGATGTGGATGGTTCCAATTCTGTTTGTGCAACATCTGGTTCTTCATCATTGTATATGTTTTCAGCCTGTGGGGGAAAACATAATGAATATTAAAAATCACAGCATGTACTATTAACAGATTTTATTAGTAATTCTTAGAACTCACTATTATAGCAATTTCCTATAATAGTATTAATTTTTTTTGTGATTAATAAATAAGACAAATCAGTAAACATAATCTAAAGAAATTAACAATGAAGATTATGATAACGTACCATCTGCCAAACTTGCATTATATTGTCCTCTGACACAGAGCAGATTACCCACGGTTCATTGGGGTTCCAAGAGAAGTCTGAGATCTTGGCAGTATGTCCGCCGTGGATGAAGAGAAGTTCTGGCGGTCCGTCTTCTGCATCTTCTGCGGATTGATCTTCACCAATTTTGCTTAAAAAAAATAAAGAAAATAGAATACTTTTAAACACCAGAGCTTTCAGTAAGTACTTCCCCTCTTGATCAGCGGTGTATATAGAGGATGGGTGCTGCACTCCCCCAACAAAGCTTGTGCTCCACCCCCAGTTGCCACCCCCATTGAAAATGTCCGAAGCAACAAAATCAGGCTCAATAGTTAAAAATCACCTACCACCGTACTTTGCACACCTAGCTCCTGCTCACTTTATCATCAAGCCCCACCCTCCAATACCACATTGGCACCCCCCCCCCCCCACTTCCCAATTTCAATAGAAATGCCACTGCTCTTTAATATCAACCCTTGTTAATTTCCTGGGGGAGGGGGATGGGGAGCGATCTTTAATGGTCCTTGCAGTTTTTAAAAATTCTTGTTTAAAGATGGTTGAAGACCAATTTGTTCTTTCCATCTAATTTTATTCTCTATCGTTTTAAATTAACCTTTCCATGCCAGCTAATTTTTAAGAACTTTAACTTGGATACGAGGTACCCAGATTGAAGATGGCTATGGCTTAACAGATGTTGACCCCCTAATTTTGTGCGTTAATGTTGTAACAGATGTCACATGACTAACCTCAAGTCCCAGACGTTAAGTCGTCTGTCGGTGCCACTTGAAGCCAAGATCGTCTCATTGTGAGGTGACCACTGCACTTGGAAGATTTCATCTTTGTGTGACTCAAATGAATGTAGCTTCAGTTTCAAGTTCCTTAGATCCCATAATGCGACAGTCTACAGTCAATAATAATAATAAAAAATTATAATATGCAAATAATAATTAAAATAATTATGAGAATTTGATCTAAGATGTAATGCTAAAATATCTAGGTGTCAAATAAGAAAGGATTTTGAGGTAACAGAAAAAACCTTAAAAAGTGGTAGTAGAAAATCTCATAAGAAAATATGTAGTTTCAACTGTACAATCTATTTTATAAATGTTTCAATTCATAAACCCCACTTGGTAGAAAACTACATGTAAAATGGAAATTTTGCTCTACTGTTTGTTTATTAAAGCCAGGCTACAAGGAGAAAAACAAGTTTGATATGTTGTGTAAATGACTTTTAGAAAAGGACACAAAAAGGGTGTTTGACAAATAAATTTGGAAACGATTAATAAGATACAAATTTTAGAATACTTAAAAAACGAAGGGGTTGGCGAAAGGAGCATAACCACCTTCTTTCAACATTTCCAGTCCCCACCCCCCCCCCAGTTTTTAAATATTAAAAAATCTGTATCTCGTTTTACCAATTTTTCATCAAACACCCTTTTTGTGTCTTAAAAATATCAGTTGTACGATATATCAAAATTGTTTCCTCCAAAGCCTGACTTTGAAGACAATAAAGTTATATTTATTAAAATCTATTTTAAAGCTTATAAGCGACATATATTTGAAAAAGGTCAACTCCAAAGGTCATCTTCACTTCTGGGTTTGTTGGCATTAACACTATAAAAGACTGCCATGTAAAAATATTATTATGTATAAAATAGGGTGGTACTGTATTATCAGATTTTTGGTCTCATTCAGTTTGTAGTACGTCACATGTATACGTGTGTAACATTGTTTTAACATAAGCTCTGTCCTATCAAATCTTAGGTGAAAAATTTGTGTGATGTGTCCATATATGGGCATGATGATGAAATATTACAACCAAATATGGACATATCAGATTTTTCTGTGACATAAAATTTGATGGAGCTTTTCTAATTACCTTATCTGCTGAGCCAGTGGCAAGAATGAACTCGCTGTAGGGGTTGAAGGACAGGCAGTTCACCTCTGCTGTATGGGCATCTACAGCATGGCTAGGCTTGGATGTGTTTTGCACTCTTGTATCCCAACTAAAGAAAAACAAACAACTTAAGGCCTGTCCAATTTTTTGATTGACAATGCCCATATATAGTCATGATGTACCTACATACGGTCATGGTGTGATGTCATCATGACCATATTTACGCATGTCCCAAAAAATTTGATAGTCTTCATAAGGTGTTAGACTTTGGACACATACTGGGTCAATGACCTTTAATAATAGGCTACAGCTAAAACAAAATTAACTTTCTCAATTCTTTCGACACACTTTAGCCTTGTGCTGTAAGGATCGCCAACTCAAAATATTGTAAATAAATATAAACGTACACATTTTAAAAGTTACAAAAAAAAAATAATGTGATTATGTTTCATTACATACACAGCTTAATTCTTGAAATACAAATACTTACAATACAATAATATACTTACAATAACAATATATTAATTGTACATTCATATTTATGACATTTTATTATGTCATAAAAATAACTTTAAACTATGTTTGTGGAAAAATGTATAATACGTATGCCCATTTACTGTGAAATAGCCTGTATACATTTTATATCTCCTTTTTTTGCGATGTTTTTTTTTGCTTTAGTACTGTATATACAGTACTTACATCATCAGCTTCTGATCGTCTGCAACGGATCCAAACAGACTCTCGTGTAAGAGATGCCATGAAACATCCTCAACGACTGCAGTATGACCTGTGAAGATTCTTTTGGCATCAACAATGTTCTTTTCTTTTGGCGTGTCATTGATATCCCATAGGCAAATTGTCTGTTGAAACAGGAAAATAGCAAATTATTATAGCTTTACATTTATATACTCTAATTTTGAATTTGTATAAACTGTTTTAAAACAAATCAAATAGCATTTAGTACACAATGTTGAAAATAACTCTTTATTATAAAAGTAGAACCCTTCATAAGGGACACCTTCGAGACTGAAAAAGTGTCCCCCTTATAGGGGTGTTTCCAAAATGAGATTGGCTGTAGTGTTACAATATATCCTTTCCCTCGATTAGTGCTCGAAAAAGTGTCCCCTTAATAGGGGTGTCCTCTTAATAGAAGCATCCCAAAGGAGGGTTCTACTGTAGTTTTGAAGAGTTTGTTTTTCTTTTTATTTATTGGACTCGTATTTATGTATATATAAAATCATAAAAGAATATGAACAAAATCTAACAGGGTACTTACATGATCGTCAGATGCACTAAGCAGGTGACCATTCAGGTTGGGATTCCATGAGAGACCGTACCCCTCCTTGGAATGACCCCTCAGTCTAATGTTAGGCTGACATTCACCATTCGGATCTAGTAAAAATGATAATCAAAATACCAATGAAAATGATGTAAAAACAATAATAAAAGTTTGAACTATCACCCCACCCCTCCTATGTCGTTAGATTTGATGTCTAGGTTGAGTTGAATCAACTGTCATTTGAAAATAAACCTGTTTATTCCCTACTTGACATGTTATCGTACTGAATACACAGTAATACATTACTAAATATTCGCGAAAGAAATCTTGCAAGTGATTCGGGTGGGATTTGAACCCATGACTTCCGGTTAACTAGCCTGGTGTCTTAACCTCTAGACTACTAAGCTTGCGCTTAGTGGCTAGTATTAAATCTGCCCCTCAAGTAGCAATGGGTACTGCAATGCTATTCCAATGGCATTTTGTGTCAGGATATTTATTAGGAATAATAACCATTGAAAAAAAACACCAAAAAACATATGTATTCTCCAAACACAGTTAAACTTTTCTAAGTCGACTTTGCCTAACTAGAATAATTTCAAAGTCGATCTTATTTCACACGCCAAATAATTGTGTTTTCTATTAATTAATGATGATCTGTAAGTCAAATTTTATTTGCCATATTTCAGTGCCATATTGGATTCGACTTTGGCAAGTTCAACTGTAATAACATTGACATATTAGACTCATTACCTGGTTTTGAAGGGTGTTTCGTAAAGTCAAACACAAGGACATCACTAGAGGGCGTCTTGGTTGCTATAGTGCAAGGATTCTGTGGCATGAATCGTGCTCTGTTAACTTCACCCTCATGGTTTATCTTGATATCAATTTCTATTTTTCCACTCACAGATCCAAAACCACCAAATTCTAAAAGAAAAATTGTATTCAATTAGTTTTTTCTTTGCTAGGTGTCAAAAGTTAATTAAAGAAGCATAATGCGTGATGACCAATATTATACGTTTCATAACAACATACCTCCTTTTTCACTGTCATAATGGGAAGCGTCAAACTGGGCATCGTCATTGGGTAGTTGTACGCTGGCAATCACAAGATGATTCTGTTCATCAGATCTAGATAGAAAATAAAAAAAAATATATTTTATTAAAATCTTTTACAAAAAATAATTTTTTATTTAGTTTCTTTCTTAACAATGGTTTTGTTTTGAAGTATTTGGCTGCTTTGATCAAGCTATCGACTATCAACGAGAAGGGGGAGGGTTTGGAAGGGGGAATTTTTCTCTCTCTCTCTCCATGCCCGCACAAATGTGACCTATTTCACGTATTCCTGTAGTTCGGTAGGCCTATCGTAGCTCCTACGTCATTGTAAATAAACATTTATAAAGGAATGCTTGTGTCTTTTTCTCAAAGTATTTCATTACACACAGGGTAATACATACTCTCAATTAAGCGCTGCGGCACTTATTCGAGAGCGGCGCTTATTGAAAAAAAATTCACGATTTAAGCAACGCTTATTCGAGAGTGACACTTATTCAAGCATTTACAGAACTTTACATTATAATTAGACCTGGTAAGGCATAAGGGAACCTGGATCTTACGTTTATGAGTAGAGTCACTCATAAATTTCTACCTAATACCATTTTATCCTCTACGGACTACTATTCTTGCCAGATACAGGTACAGTAGGCCTACATCTCGAAAATGTAAACAGTACTTAACCCTCCTGACTATTACCTGTAAATTTTATTTGACAAAAACATGACATGCCTAAATATGGTCATAATGACACCACATCATTACCATATATAGGCACATCATGACTATATATGGGCATATAGCTGTTTTTGTCAAATACAATTTGATAGTCTGGGCAGAAATTAAGGTTAATAAGTAACGCACCCGCAGATGCTTCAAATTACTTACGTGTGTGTTCCTAGTACAAGGCGATGGACTGTATAATCTTTACCTTCAGGCCTAAAAATATAGAACATAATGTTGTGTGAATAAAAAGCAACTACAAAAAAAAAAGAAAAAAAAAAAAGATGATTCAGATGCTTGTCTTGAAACTCAATATAAAATCTAGACCAATTCGGCGATATTTGTTTGCAGCTCGTCACATGACATAATTTGGGTGTACCGTGGAAAACATTACAGTGCTATCAGTGTGAAAGTATAGGAAATTGTAATGTTATGGTTGCGAAAACAACCACCCACTGTTAACGCAAAAAATAAATGGCTAGGAAAGGCAATTCGGTTGTCCAAAATAGTGTTTATTTACATTGCCCTAGCATTGTATGCTTAAAACCTTAGATAGCCTTAAAATCGCAGCGTAGTTTGCGGGTCGACGACCCTCGTGCATACCTAAACAGGCTGTAGATGTGCAGGGGCCCAGGCCTACCATTTTTTTTTCAAAAAATCTCAATGTTTGCAGCCAGTATCCTTTAGAGCATTAGCAAACCATTATGGAAAAATTCTCAAGTTTGATTTCTAATCAATTTGGTATAGTTTACTGGGAATTATGATGATCTTCACAGCAATAACAAGGGATGGCTGCAATAGCTATCTCCACGTAAAACACTGCTGCGCCAGTCCATTGTTTACAGCCAACACCCAATTTAGGTCACATGACACCAATAAAATTTGTCTTGACTGTGTGCTTTGTGCCATTGATGAATCACATTGAAATATTCAGTAATATAATAAAAAAAAGAAACATACTTTGTAATCTCTGGTAGCCACTGAGCGGTTAGGCTTGGCCACTCCAATGCATGGGTCATTACAAGGTCATATAGGAAGGGCGTGTTCTTTTTCCATATTTTATATTCTTCATTGATCACCCTCTCTTCAACCGCATCGTCAAAAGCTATGGAATTAAAAAAAAAAATATCAGATTCAGAAAATATTTTGGCATATTAATATTTTTAAAACTCAAACTGTTTCTTCTTCTTCTGAATTTAGTGGCAACTTCAAAATGAAGGCTTCGGTGCGGGCTTCAAATGCAGATGGGAGTCTCATCCGGAAGTATGGAGAAGTATATAAAAGTTAATAAAAGAATAAATAAAATAAAAAATAAATACAGTACCTGTAACCCAAGATGGGGCCCTTGCAGGTACTATCCCATCTCATGGGCAGGAGGAACCAAGAGCTCACCTTGGGTAAGGCCGCTTTATTCCTTGGGTAAGGCCATTAGCCTAATACATTACTAATGGACCTTACCAGATTACCCTTAGCCCCTACCGCCCACAGGCAACGTGGTGCCAACTACAGTAATAGGCAACCAATGACTTTAGATGCAATCATCAATGTATTCTTCTCTAGGCCTAGGGTCTACAACAAGACACATGAACATAACTTATTAACAACAATGCTGTGGCTAGGGATACGGGACCGTACCTCATCTTCTGTATGTTAAAGGTACAGTACGGTAAATTATACCATCCAATAAAATGCCGCCAACGGTGTGACGTAATTGTTCAGACTTGTGAAATCAGTCACTGATTACAAAGGAAGTAGGTGAAGTAACATTTATTACTTATATCTATCTTTAATACGAGTTAATCAGGCACTGTATTACGGCACTAACATATTTTTAATGTTATTAACTTTATTGATTTTTGGCAAGTTGGTCAATTATTATTGTCTTATGTCGCTTTTGTATAACAACTCGGCAGGAAAGCAGGATGACAGCAAACGATTTAACGATGTCGTCACTCTGGTGGTGGCAGCATTTTATAAGATAATGCAATTTACTGTACCTATGGAAGGTAGGTCGACAGTACTGTACAGTACCATATCTCTAGCTAGCCACAGTGTAACAACAAAGATGCGGTATTTTATTCATTCCACAAAAAGATCAGTTTAAAAATTGTAAAGTTTGACTTGTGGAAAAATAGGCTAGGCCTAATAGCCTTAGTACTAGGCCTAGTACTAGTAGTAGGCCCTAGCCTAGACCCACTGCCACTACTACTACAGACAGTAGCCTAGGACCGGCATTACTAACTAGGCTAGAATATGAGACGCATTCGCTTCAAGTAAGTCTGATACACTGTGTGTTTGCTGGTCAATAACAGGTTAAAACTGAATTAGTGAGTCAATCAGTGTCTAGCTAGGCCTATCCCGGCATCTCCATGCTGCCCAGAATCAATGTGTCCTTCCTCTGGAGCTCTCTAACGGCTAGGCTAGCTAACCTATGACCAAGCAAAAGGCTGACTAGCTAGGCCTAGGCCCTAGGTAATCCCACCTAATAAGCATCTTATCCAAACAGATTTAGCATAGAAACTATCAATTGTTCAAATAAAATACACAAAAAATTATTAGAATATACCCACCTCCTTCCTTTTCTGTCATTTTGTAAATAAATTAAGAGGAAATTATCTTTGGACTCGACTCTATTGTGCCTAGCACGCCGCGCCAATTTACTCGAACGACTAAGCCTATAGAGGGCGCTATACAATATCTTTGGAACTACACGAGTACTGTACCTGTTTTACAACCTGATGATTGTTTATACTGTATATGAGTTCTAAAAGTAACGGTATTTCACATTGTAGGCCTACTTAAAATTCAAAAGTTATGTAAAATCAGGGAGTAGTCATATGGCCAAATGAGACATTCAAAAATTGTTCTGAGAGTCTAGAGTGCTATTTCTTATATTTACATTACCTCGTGAATCATACAGACCCATTTCTGGCGATTTAGACTTCATCCTAGGCCTATTTGTTAAAACTCATATAGAAGCATTAATAGGATAAATAATATAATTATAAATAAATTTAAAATGACTAAATGTAAGCATATTATGAATGAAAGTAAATAACGTAAATATGTATATGGTTGATAATTATGTCGGTTTGGGGTTGCTGCAATCGATTTAACAAAGGAACAAAAATGTATCAATTTCCTTAATTTCAAAAAGGAGGAGGATTTGGGATTTTATTTATGACTTCGTGAAAAAGTGCGGCCGGGTCTAATTTAAATCAGTTTTTTAAAAATTATTAATAAATGATGCCACATAGCTTATTACCTGCCCAGTACTAATGTAAGCATTTGAGTGAAAATTTGGTTTAATTCGGCTCAGTAACAAAAGAGAAAAATCCAGGACACACAGACCCCAATTTGCCTTTTATATATATAGATATAATTTGAGGATGAAGAAACTCTAAATTGCCGAAATAAAGGTTGGGTGAAGTAATAAAAATATAAATAGCCATATGGTCTCATTTGACTATATGGCTACTGATTTGACATAATTCGTTGAATTGTAAGTACATCAAGTAATTCTTGTTTTTGTGAAAATAGGTACATAATAAAACAATATATCATACTGTACATAATCATTGAAATTACTCTAAAAATACTGAAATAATTTCCCAGAACCAGAAATGAATAAATTTTAACAAGGGATGATGGGATAATACCAGGATTTTCAACATCCGGAAGACGATGTGTTCAATTTAATCTTTAATTATTTTATTTAACCCAACAGCGTGATCATAAAAACAATATAAAATCAAAAGAAACATTAAAAAAATATCTGACCATAGGTATTTTTTTTTGTTTCATTAAAATAAGGAAATATGTTTCTTACCGGTATATAATATAATTCTGCAATAGACCCAGGGAACACCCTTATTGTATTGATTGGTAAGGTAGAGACGCCACATTAAGTGTGCGAACAGGCATATGCATATTTTGAATAATTTGAAGCCACAATTAAACATTTGACTAACAGCTTTGTAGATATAGATAATGCTTAGCCATAGGCTCAAACCTCAAAAACGCCATTTTCGATAAATTTTGGATGGACAAAATGCAACATTTAGTATAGTAGTATAGAGAAAATAGAAATACGTACCGGTATGTTCCTACGATTGTCCATTGTTGCCAAGATATATAGATCCAGTCTTTTAGAGTCGGTCATTTTGAATTTAAAAATTCGGCCAGATCAGGCGTCAGAAACTTGGCGCACAACTTTTTTTTTATTTGCACATATTTATTTGTGAACATTTTCATGCTTTTGTAATAAAAGTGCACAAGTTGGCCCTTCAGCTGCTTTACTAAAATGCTCTACTAGCATACTTTTTTTTGTTTCAATATTTTAAGGATTTAAGTGCTTTAAACCACACGCACACACATACATCTGATAATAACTTATCTTAGAATGAATTTTACATTTGCAGTTGACATGTTACGGTATGACATTTCAGGTTTTTTTGTAGGTTTCTAGATTTAGGCCTATGTTCAAACAGATTTTTACAGTTATTGGCGATTTTTGTACATTTTTAGTTATTTTATATTTGTGGTAGACATGTTATGATATCTGTGGTTATTTTGACATTTGCGAGTAGAATGTTTTGACATTTGCGAGTAGAATGTTTTGATATTTGTAGTTATATCTACATTTGTGGTAGATTTTTGCATTTGTGGGCTCTACAGGCCCCAAATGGAATAACCTATTAAGAGTATGCCCGTATTTAAAAAATATATTTTCCACGTGCTTTGGCTTACATTTTCCCCATATATTATCAGTGGCGTAACGCCGAGTCAAGGGACCGGGGATGAGTAAATGTTTGGGTCCCTTGCATATCAAAAAATAAAGCAGTTTTGTTTACCTTCCATGGGTGGATAATCTCCTACAGAAAATTGTTAATGCTGAAAATGTTATTTAAGTATTAGATCCTGAATGACAAAAAATATCGCGTGACTATTGAACAATAAAATCTCCTAATGTTTTGCATACACATTTTTGATTTGTTTATTGTTTGTATGCAATGTAACTATGCATAAATGGTATTTTGCGTACGTGCATTTCATTAGCGTGAATAGATTACATACTTAATCAAGAATGTATTGATCCACGTTCCAATGGAAATTTGCCAATATAAGCATTATCAAACCTAGAAACATTATCCACAGGTCACGGAACTAGGGGGGTGCTGCGTTTTAGAGAGTAATGTGTGACCGGAAATGGTCTGCCAGTTGGTTGTTAGCATGCGCCAGTGATGTTGGAGTACAGCGAGATTAAACTACTTATGTAATGCATGAATAAAGTTCGGGGTTGGTCGGGTAGTGAAATGATTATTGTACATTTTAAGTGATCCTGGGAATTAATTAGCGAAGACATGGAGACAATTGTTCCTAAGTTCCCTCTTTCCAAGAGGAGATGCAATTGCTTTGTGAAAATGAGTACGCCGCCGGTACTCATTTTCACAAAGGAATACACTCAGCTGGTTAGCTAACAATATGCAAATTTACATAAACACTTGGGAAGAAATATGCAATCACGTTCTGTTGCCAAGCAAACGTCTGTACTGTAGTAGCGGTTTTTTTTTTTGGGGGGGGGGCTACTGATGTACTGTGTATAGCGGGGGACGATGAAGCATAATATGACTAGGCCTAAGTAGACAGTGCAATTATATGTGATAGAAAGTACACTTTCGAAAGAAATCAATCAAAATAAGAAAAAAAAAAACTTAACTGTCTAACATGATGAAACTGCAAGGTAGGCCATCTCCATCATAAAAATTATGGTAATTATCACATTTTGTAAACTAAAGTAGAATGTTATGTATTTTTGAAATATTATATTTACTGATATTATAGAGAATATTTCAATTTTAAAATTTAATTATAGAATTAGAAACACATTACATACACATTTAGGTAAATACTAAGATTATAATTTCAGAAAAGTCGTACAGAAATTGTACTTTCTCAATAACGATTTTGTGTGTTTTGGACTCTTATTGTCAGGAAAGCTTTTTAAGGAAGTGAAGCTTAGGCCTATGTATTTGCCTATGATATAATAGCCTTAATAATAATAATAATGATAATAATAATAATAATAATAATAATAATAATAAAATAATAATAATAAAATAATAATAATAATATATTTATTTTCTCCAAAATATATACATACAACAAAGAAAAATGAATAATGAATAATGAAGAGGCTAGAACAAAAAAGAAACGACTCTATGGACAGAGCTTTTGTCTGACATAAATAAACTTGAAATTAACAAATATTTACATATATTTTTTGAAGAAAAAAGTGGATTTCAGTGAAGAATTGTTCTTCAGACCTCTGGGTATCCTTGGTGTGATTCACACTGAAATACTTATCTATTATATAATTGGGTAAGAATTCCACAATGCTGGCATAGGGCTAATACATAAAAATTATAGGACAACACTTAGCAAAAGTAATGGAAAACGTTGGGAATTCCTTTTATTGGTTTTGTAAATAAGTTAGTATCTGTTAGTTTGTATTAATAATGAGGGGATAAAAGAAAAAAAGCCTAGTATTTCTATTCCTAGTTTAAGATGAAATAATAATCAAAGTTCAGTATTAAATTAAAGCCGTAGTCTGTCCCATTTAAACTTGTCTATCACAATCAACAATGCCTATACATTTATTTATTCAACAATTTCACCTTTGATACAGATTGATTAGTAAGAACTATTTACTCTACGAATATACCAAATAATCTTTTCTGTTGTGTGTACATTCAGATTAAAGTAATTTTTGTCACACCATTCTACAAGTGTGTTTATCCAGGAGGGTTTTATGGTTCGGGAGAACCCCCCTTTTCCAGCAAACCCCCTTCTTTTCTGGCGAAACCCCCTCTTTAAAATTCTCAAATAAGTCCCCAAACCCAACTAATGCACTGCAGACCCACCCAGACACAGACATTTTCAAACATATCTGCTTTTATAGCATTATTTAGACCCATAAAGCACAAAAATCCTCTTGCTTTCGGGATTTCGCCCACCACACCGGGGCTTTGACTGTGGACCTCACGCTAAGGGCCTGTTATGAATCAACGGCCATACACAATACCCTTTTTTAGCCTCATTTGACAATATGAGTTTGAAATGACTATTTATAAAAGAAAATATATATTGCAAATACCTTTGTAGTACATAGATACCTACTTTTTCTGTCTTGGTGTATTACGTAATTGATGTTTATTTATCATAACCGATGAATTTAGAAAAATGTTTAAATATATTAAGAACTGTCAATCTAACCAGGGAGCAGAATTACATGTAATATAACTGATCCCTGATAGCATTGGGCGCTTGTGAATTTTCTTATATTATGCTTGCTCATATATGACCTCACTGCCGTTTTAATTCCTTTATACACTAGAAATGATATATCGACAGAGTAAGTATCAATCAACTCTTCTAGTATATAAAATTTACCGTTTCTATGAATTATATCATTAACAAAAACTATTCCTTTTTTTGAAGAGTTTCATATATATGATAGGCTTATTATCAACATTTATATCATCATTATTCCATAGACATTGTGTTTGTAATTCTATTTCATTTCTAATATTACTCTTAAACAGTTTGTTATACGATGCCCATGAATATAACACGTCTTTCCAAAAAATGTTTGTAATGTTTGGAATAATTCGAGTAGTTATGTATTTACTGTCCGCAAACCA